ATAATTTGATTTAAAAATAAAATCAGACAACAAATATGGGGGACATGCAGCCATTTGAAATCTATCGCATGAGTCATTATATTTCAAAACAGTCAAACGCAGAGCCATGGTGAGTCAATCTCTCCTTCACCATTTATACTAATTTGAGTCCATACTTCAAGCAATTTAAATCAAAAGCAAGCATAATAGAAACAATGCCAAATTAACAGTCCCCTTAGTCACAAAGGAATAACAGGCAAACACCAGTTAAATCCACACATTATTATTATATACAAGTATGCACACACACACACACATAAATGAATTCTAGTATTGCCTTCATACTGCACAGCCTAAAAGTTCAAAAATACTTACAGGTACCGTGCTGCTACTTACAGCTCCTCAGACACAATTACAACTGGACTAATCTGCTCCCATCTGCTCCTAAAAATACAACTATCAGACAGAGCTCGTCTTCTCTGGCATTTTGCTGACGCAAGTACAAGATGAAAACATCACTCATTCAGAGTAGAAAGATACACTGGTCTCCATAATACACAAGATAAAAATCAACTATATCATCATGTTAAGGTGCACACGACAGTCTTACCAATGCAATACATGGCAATTTTCTCACATAATTAATGATGTAGATTTTAGCAGAAGAGAAAACAAATAAACAAACAAACAAAAACAACCTCTAGTTGCCGCAATGTGGTAAAAAGAAATTCAAGAAGCTCCCTTTCAGCTGAATAGGACAGCTTTTTTCTTTCTTGAAGCGTTAAGAGAGAAGAAATTTTTTTTCCCCTCCTGGCCTCCATAACTTCCACTTTACTATTCTTGCCTGAAAACTGAGACACAAGGAGATTCAGACCATTGGATTTCTAATTATAAATCTGTGCAATGTTAGTTTAACACTAACTCAAACCCTGCCATTCCTCCACAAATGATACAATTAAGGAGGGAGATAGGAAGAAATGGTATTTCAATACTCTCTTGCTGCACAAAAGAGTATTGGAGACAACCAAACTTGTGTTTTGGGTCATCCTTCCCCAAACGCAGAGTTTCCAAACTTTGTTCAGCCCAACACTGCACTGGGGCCACAGGCCCAGGCTGCACAGAGCGGTGAGAATTTTATTTATTTATTTATTAAGAAATTCACACCTAGATTCATTTCTAATAGAAGAACATGCAAATAACTGACATTTCCTTCCCAATACCTGAAAATGGCTGACTATCAGGATTTTCTTTTTACAATAAACATTGTCATAATACCAATAATAACAAACGGAAACATTTAGTTGCAATATGCTAATAAGAAAATATGCTCCCCAGTACTGACAGAAGTATTATGTGCAGTATCACGAAGTTAGCACAATGTCTTAATGCACCTCACCCCTGGGAATGGCTAGGGAACACAGCAAATAGCTTTCATTTTAAATGATTTATTTTATTCCTGTCTTACACTCCATCATGCTGCACATCTCTTTACTCATCTTGGCTGTCAATATTTTCTTCCTGCAGCTTTTAAGTAAAATAAAACACCGTAACTGCTGTCAGACCATTTCATGACCAGTAAGGCTTCAGAATAAGAGTACTTGATACAAATAAATTTTTCAGCAATACATAAACTATCATCTTCAATGGAAGGAAAAAAACATTTTGCACTGCCTTTTGCATTTTCTTTTCCTACTGTAAGGATAAATGTCTAAGGAAGTGTTTGAAAGTAAGATAAATCTATTGAAGGAATAGCTCCAGAAAATCTTTTTGGTCTTGGGTTTTTGGGTTTTCTCACCGTTTTTCTTATGTCGTTCACACAAAAATACCAGAACAGCTACAGCAGAATAAATTCTTCCAAAATCACCTTGCATAGGACACTGCAATGAACTGGAATAGCTCACAGGGGCGTGCCAGTTTACTTCCCCTGTACACACAAGGATCAGACAAGGTTAACTACAGTTCAGATTAGGTCATTGGAGAAGTTTACCAGCCACTTCGTTAGGGGTCCATACTAAAGATGAGTGAAGTTGCCACCATTTAGCTTTGAACAACCTACACAACACCCAAAACCACACTCCACAGCACAGTAAGAGTCCTTTCTATTGAGGAAGTTGACAGTTTTGGCTATATTAGGGAAGAAAGGAGAAAAAAAAAAGAACATACAGAGAGTCTCAAAGAACAAAAACCCCAAGAGTTTTTATTTTAAAACGGTGAAATAGTATCTGCATACAAATGCAGCATCTTCTACAGAGTCTCTGAAACACATACGGGGAAAACACAGTCATATCACTGCCTGTTAGGATTGGTTTCCCTCCTTACCCTCCCACCCCAAACACTGCCAGTACCTTAAACTTCCCCTTGAAGAAAAGCCTCCAGACTAGTGATACCAACAAAGACACAACTTTTATTTCTCTACTGGAATTTAACTCCCTGTTAGCTTCAAAAAGAAAACAAACTCTCATATTAGCAGTCTTAAAAATAAACAAAAACCAGACAGTATGGAACAGGTAAAAATTCTCCATGCACATCTGGCTTCAACATAAAAGTAGGCTTCTCTGGGCTAACCCAAAAAAGCTCCTCAGCCTCACTGCCTCAGTGTCCATCTGCCCAGTGGTACCAGCAGCACCACAGGGTCATGGCACAGCTGGCAATACACAGCCCGTGACGGATGAAGGCTGCTTAAATTGGCATTGTCACCAGAGGAAACATTCATTAACCTGCAGCTCAAATTATTCTATTTGAAAGACGCTTTTCCTTTAGATTTGTTTCCATACTGAAGATGCAGAACAGACATTGACAGAGACTAATTTCCATCTAGCTCTTTACATCTAACTCAACATGAGTGCCTGATGCCTTGAGAAAACATGCACTGAATTTAAGCCTAGTTAGAAGTAGGGTTTAGAGACAGATGACACATTGGGATGGATTTTAAACCATACAAATTTGGTCCCTTAAGGAACAGCAGAACCCAACCTGCCCGAGAGAATTGAAGCCCTTAGCCCCTTCCTTTATCCCCAGGGCTCTGACAAGACATTTTCAACTCCATTGTGCATCTTTCCTGAAGCCAAAGGCTTGTTTAAATCCATGATAAAAATCTCAGGGCTTGTTTAACCTCGTTGCCAGCCCAAGGTTGAATTTCTTCCAGTGCAGCTCTAGGTTAATACTGCTCTAATTTCAAGTTATCTGGATCATGACTTAAAGCTAGGAGTAGGGTTGCAAGAGCTCATCAACTACTAATCCAATTGTTCTACATTTCTCAAGGATTATTTTCCAGTTTACTAATCTGAGCTACTTGCTGTAATAATCCTTTACCTATAATGAAATCACCAGGCAGATCAAGGTGCGCAGCCTGAGTCTCACTCTGGCAAAGTGCAGCACATCAGCAGCTAATTGCTCAAGTATTTGTTCTGCTTCTCCACTAGGTTTTACAGCTTGCATCAAACTCCAGGTGCCAGTAAAACCACTATCCAAACCAGCTCATTTTCTAAGCTTAAACTGGGTAATTTAAAGCACACTCAAGAATGGCAACGCCATGCTGCAATCTCAGAAGAGAGGATATACATGCATATTAAACTCCCCATGAAAACAGCATTTTGTATTTTTATTTTAGCTGGTCAAGTTCAACACCGAGCCTAGTATTATTTACCTGGCACTGAACTCATACTAACAGGTATGAGCAAGCAATAAGATGGTAATAATTATCATATGAGGTCTTTACCTTGTCTTAAATACATCTGGGGATTTCTCTTTCCTGCCAGAATTTTCTATGGGCTCTGATGGAAGCTCTCAGCCAGGATCAGCCTCACGTCATCACTCACCTACAGGGCAGTCTGGGATATGTGAAGAGCAGACCCCAAGCTGTGTTAAGTATCTGTCTTCTGAATCTACAAAATGACAACGATGGCTTCAAAATGAAGGGACAGGAATGAAAGTGTATACGAGTCTCTGCCTACATGTTCATATTTCAAGAAAAAGCAAAACCTGCCAGCGACAGAAATGCATGATGCAGATATTTATGAATTATCAGTTAATTAATGAAACCTAATCAGAGGCTTTCAACAAGCTTTGTTTGGGCATTTTTCTGTATTGCCTACATCACTTGGTTCTACCAAAAACATACCTTAAGACAAAAGAAAACTGCACGATGCTGAACAGGGCTCACAAGTCAAAAGCAACAAATAGAAATACATACTGCCAGGATCCACACAGGGAAAAAATAGAAAGAAAATAAAAAGAAAAACAACACACACAGCCCCCAAATAAATTAAAATTATAAAAAAAATGAAATTAAAAAAAAAACAAACAAAAAACAACCTCACAGCATATCACGAGAATGGGATCAGACAAGAAAGAGAGAGCCCACCCCTTCAGGATCAGGGGAGAATTAACCTGCATTTCGTTACCCGGTTTACAAGCCGCCGGCTCTACCACACGTTACGCTTTAAAAAGAAAAAAAAAAAACGTAACACATGCGACGACCGCCGAGGAACGGCGAAGGCAGCCCCGAGCCCCGGCCCTGCGCCCGGCCGGCGGGCAGGTGGCTCCCGCCGCAGGTGCCCACCCACCTCAGGCGCTCGCCGCCCAGGCCGGGCCACCAGGTAGCGGCCCCCGGCCCCGGCCCCGCACGGGCTGGAGGCGGGGAACGCAGCCAGGCAGAATCTGGAGGGGCTGAGGGCAGAAAAGGAAGGACGGAGGAGAGGGGGGCGCGGATGGCACGGGAGGGGCAGAAGCTGCCAGGCCAAGGTGAACCGCAGCCCGGCAACATGGTGGAGGCTGCCGGGAAGCCCCTCGCCGGCAGGAGGAAAGAGGCGAGCCTCGGCAGGGCGGCGGGAGAGGATGCGAGGGGATGTTCCGGCAGGCGACCGGGATGGAGGTGACAGCGGCCGGCAGACGACAGCGCTGACCCCGGCGCGGCTGAGGGGAAGGCGCCATGGGGGAGGCGCCCGCGGGGCTGCTTCCCCGGGGCGGCCGGCAGCGCCTCGCCCGCGGGGGCAAGAGGAGGAGGAGGAGGACGAGCTCACCTGCCATAGCTGACGCCAATGGCGCTGACGGCTGCAGCGGCGGCTCCGCCGGGCTCCGCTCCGCTCGGTCGGCAGCGGCGAGTGCGGAGGGGCCGGGGCCGCCCCGACAGGCAGAGCACGGGGCGGGCCGGGCCCCGCTCCGCCCCCGACAAGATGGCGCCCGGCGCTGCTCCGCTTTCCTCCCCTCAGGGCCCGGCTGCCGGGGCGGCCCCCGGGGCGGCGGGGCAGCGGCCGGCACAGGGGAGCCGGGCCGCGCCATGAGGTGGGCTCCCGGCCCCTCAACGAGGCGAGACGGGGCTCGGCTCGGCTCCCCGGGGCGGGGAGGTTTGGCGGGGGGGGGGGTCTCTCCTGAGCGCCAAAGAAAATGGCGCTCGCGTGGTGTCGGTGCGGGCTCCAGTCAGCCCTGGCCTTTGGGGTGAGGGGAGGGATTAATTTAAATGAAATAATAATTATAATATTCCAGCTTTTACAACAGGAGAATGAAGAGAAGGCAGCCAAGGGAGTGGAGACCCCCAAAATAAGATGCCTCCGCTACACACACACGCATCTGTCTTTTCAGAATTTTCAGCCTGGGGAGAGATGGGACACATCAGACATAGAATCATAGAATCATGGAAACACAAGGTTGGAAAGGACCCACAGGATCATTTAGTCCAACCATCCTTCTATTACATGCAGCAGATTGAACCCCAGTGCAGAGAGCTGGGTGTTTCAGGCCCACGCCATACACCTGCTGCTTCAGTACCCCGCATCAGAAGAGATGGATGCTTCCTCTCTGAGCCCCTTGGCAAAAATTGAAATTCCTAATTGATTTTGATAACGGTAACTTGCTTTAATGTGGCTTTTGCCCTTTCAAGTACGTGCAGTTCTCAGATGTGTTGAGATCAAACTGACTCACCTATCCTGTTGCCTCTTGCTGTCTTTCTGGGAAGCAACAGCCCAGTCACTGCCTCCGATAATTCCTACTTTTTCTCCTACAACAAAATTATGCTTCAAACGGCAGAGTGCAAATCTACCGTAGGTGTCCTTGAGATAATATTGACTGATGCTGAGCTTTCTCCATAACCAGCCCAATTTGTTATTTGATTAAGGTGGCTCATAGCTGTAACAGAAACCCAAATCGATAGGAAGGCCTCTGCTCCCCAGACCAGTGACACTAATTGTAATCCATTGCATCATTTCACCCAGACCTGCAGTTCTTTGTTGATCTTTCAGGTCTTTGCCTTAATAGTTGCTGTTTGCAGAGTTCAGCTGCTCAGTGTTTACTGAGTATTTGCTCACCAGCTGTCTGACCCCTTCCATCCACTGCCCATATAAAGAGGGTTTCATCGGATCCTACTAAAACCTAGGAGCTTATTTTAAGACCATAGATTCTGCAAGGCATCTGGAGTGTTTGTGCTTCTTATACTTGTGCATCGGTCCTCTCCTTGTTAAGCTTCTAAAAGGCTTTCAAATGAACCATATGGAAAACTATATTGGACACAGTCTCAATGCACCTTTCCTGCTGTATGTGCTCTTGATTATGGATATCGATCCCTTAGCATTACTTAGTGCCTGGCTTTAACCCAAACTTATACGTATATTTAATGTAGCTTTTAAATGTTAATAGCCTTTGTTTGTTAGGGCAGAGGAGCTTGCAGCTGTGATATAAGGGACATTTTAGTAATGCAAGATTGATTGAGATTGCAGCAGTTTCACTCTTGACAGAAGTTTATACTGGAAGATGGATTGTATGTATCCAATGATTCAGTCTCCCTCTGAGGACTTCTTGTGTTCAGAAATCATTGGCAGAGCCACAGCTCTATAGTTTTTTAATCTGGATTCACAAATAAATGTTCTAATTTTGCTAACCTGGTACCCCTCAGTTGAAGATGGCAGAGTGAAATATAGGTAAACCGGCAAGAGATGTGCAAGTGGCAAGTTCACATACACATACGAGTTAGGCAAATTTAACAGATAAACAGACCTCATGGTCACAATAATTCCAAGGACAAGCAAGGGAAAGATGGTAAAGGTGAATTTAGTGTTCAAAAAAATAGAGTTTGACACATTTAGACCCCCTGGAACCATGGGTTCAAACCTAGCAAAGCATTTTCAGGCTTTTGTTCCTATGAAATAGACAAATTACCTTCCAGGTGGCTTTGTGTGTTGTCAAATATCAGAAAATAGCCAGTTGGTCAGGGACCCAGAGCCTGCTTTATGTGGTCACACTGTACTGCTGCAGAGGTATAAATTATTTTGCAGGGATTAATAGCATATATAATTTTTTGTTACAAAAATGGTCTTTATAAACAGTCACTTTCTACCTGAATGATTCACAGGACCATAAGAGGTTGGAAGAATCAGAAATACAGGATATGCATATGCCTGTCCTTCATAACAACTGTGGGTTTAGAGGCTATCAAGGAAAATTAGTAACCATTAATCATTTAGTATGCAGACCTTTGACATCTTAAAGAAAAAGCCTTCCCTTTGTAGTTCTCCATTATATACTACACCTAATCTAGGAGATTATCTGAAGGGGTGAGAGGTAAGGTCCTCAGAGCTCACTCGGATTTACCTGAACAGGTGAGGTGTTGCTGCATCTAGACAGCTAGTCACCATAGAAGGCTTATGCCTGTTGTCCCAATTCAACCAGTTTAAAATACCTGTCTGTCTAAAATACATCTCCAGAATCCCTCCCTAACTGGCCTAAACCTTGTAAGTACTCCTAAAATGCTGAGTTTCCTCGGCTAAGACTAACAGTCCTGGAATCCCAGTTCTTTCCTCTGTGCTAATCAGTCATTATGCTTGCTTTCGTAACGCAGGATAAATATTATAGTATTAATGTAATCACAGTAGTAATGATTAGAGAGTACATGAGCAAATTGTTTTTTGTTTTTTGTTTTTTTTTTTTTTTTGTAGTATTTGCCAGCTTGAATCACTGGAACATCTTGACGACAGCATGCAAGTAGGGACTTGATTTTGTGGTGAGGTTGTGCCCATGTGAAACTGGAAGTCTGCATAAGGAGAAACAGATGTGGGACAGTCGAGCCTGTAGGTTGAGCTGTGTGTCCTTCTCTGTAGCCAGAGAACACAATATTACTGCAATAGTCTGAGGTAACCTTTAATGAGTATGTTCCCCAAGCATGCCCGTTTTATTTTCTTTGTTTCTTCATGGCTCTGTAAAAATAAAATGGTAAGGACAGGACTACAGGTCAGGGTTTTCTTGATATGCAACACGTGCGTTACTGGCATAAATTTAAATGCTGAAATCTTTTTGGCTGTCATCTCCTTTGTTTACTCAAAATTCCCAGTTTAAACTGAAATGTCACCTCAATTTGGGCATGTGTCATTGATCTGAGTACAGGATCTCCAAAAAGACCAAATCACAACTTCACATCCAGTTATATCCAGAGATGATTGTTTTGGGTCTGGGATCTGTGGCCCATTTCCAATTCCCTACCTAGTTTTATGTTGTCAAAAAAAAAAAAAAAAAAAGTGATTTGCCTCGATCACCTTAACAATATTCAATGTGGATCCCACAGGTGGAATTCAGGAGTTTTTAACAACCCAGAATGGAACATCTATATCAATAATAGGAATGCCTTTTACCTGATTACACGAAGTAAAAATGAACCCCCTGGTATTTTCATGGCTGCCTAAGAGGAGAAAGGAGAAAGTGGTCTAGGAAAGGTAGTTTGTTACTCACAAGCAGTGATATTTTTGCTTTCTCCTCTGAAATACGGAGTTAGGGGAAGAGAGTACTGAACTGGGCGGACCCTGGATCTATAAGGTAAAGAAGGGATGAACAACCCTTCTTGAAAATGCTGTCTACCACCACCTAGCGGAAAATACCACTTCATATATTTATGGCTGATCTTGTGGACAGTTGTGACTTAATTGCTGTGCGTTTCCCCCATAGTGCTATATGTAATTAGAGTTAGCATAAAATTATTTCTTTCGAGGAAGTATTTTAAAAACTGAACAGCATACTTCCTGATCTGCCATCAGAGCTAAATCCTTGGTTTGGTCATCTGCAAAATGGAGACAGTAAGACCCAGGAAGAGTTTTATGAGGTTTAATTAGTGCAGAGTGCTTTTAGGTCTTTTGGTCCAAGGTTCGCAGACTACTTTGGTCCAAGTACTCAAATTACTGAGGCTTCAGTCAGTGATCCAAGAGGAAGGTGTACTGCTGTGCTTGCTATATAGAAAGATAAATAGCACGAGTTGCAAAGTTGCAGTTGCCAGAATTCACGTAATAAATCAACAGGGGGAGAGAAGAAAAAGTCTGCATAGTTGCAAAATTGTTGGATCTGTACTGTTCACATCGAGATGGTTTTGCCTCTGGTAACTTTTGGAGAGAGACCTTCCTTTGCCTTTGTATATGCAAAATATTTTGTAAATGGAGACCAGATTCTGGCAGCCAGTGGGGTACAAACAACCAAGAAATCCTCCTGTGCTTCCGGCAATAGGGCTGATTAGACCATCATGGCCAAATAATATTCATTGAAATGTTGTCACTGAATGTGGGGAAGTGCAAGTAATAGGGAACACGCAGTAACACTGACTCAACTGGACAGCTTCAGATGAGAAGCCAATTTTCCTGATGCTATTATATCTGGCACCTCAGGGGCTGCACCAAATAGTTAACGTTTAACTTGCTGACTCTGGTGTAAGGCCTGTATTTAGCAGAGGATGGAGGAGATAGGTTTAGCTACATCTCAGAGTTCATTCCCAGTCCTCTTTTCACAAGCAACTAGCCAAGGGAGAGTCTTTATATATTAGGAAGAATGGTAGCAGGAGGGGGCCAGGAAAGCAGCATGCATTTATCCTCCCTGTTCTCATGTTTCTGCCAAGTTTTAGCTGCCAATACTGCTGAATTGCTGGAGCCTTATCTCCTGACCCTGAGATGTTGTGGCAACAAAAGAAGGACTGCAAGAAGCCCATGGCTGACAGCTCCTGACATATTTGCTTTGCTGGTGCACATTCACACTGGCGTTTTGCTTGCAGCTACCCATCAGATGAAGTCTGTGTCATTTGGAGAGATGGTGCCTAGGCAGGAGACAAGATGAGTTTTGCCATCTTACATCAATTTCTTGAGTGACTGTTGTTCAAACCTGCAGCAATAAATGGCAGCTTCAGTTGATAAATGTATATGGGCAGGATCAGGCCAAAAAGTGACTTATTTCCGCTTTGTTTCCAAAAGGGTATGGACATGGTGCTCTGTGAAAATCATTTGCAAGTCCGTTAGAGGAGTTTTGCAGCACAGAACAAAACAGGTTTCATATGAGGCACTGTAACAGGTTGCCCAGAGAAGTTGTCAATGCCCCATCCCTGGAGGTGTTTGAGGCTAGGTTAGATGAGGCCCTGGGCAACCTGATCTAGTGGGCAGCATCCCTGCCTATGGCAGAGGGTTGGAACTGGATATCTTTGAGGTCCCTTCCAACCCGAGCCATTCTATGATTCATTAAGCCACCTCCACTGGGGGGTTCAAATGAAGGTCCTTTACTTTGCAAAGAACAGAAAGCAGCACTTGTGTGGTTGCTTACTTGTATCTCAGCAGAGAAGTCACAGCAGAGAGAGAATCCGTTTTAACTTTTTCATTACCTGAAAATTGCAAACAGTTTTGAAAGAACATCCACAGTGTGTTCAGAGGAAGGATGGTCTTGGATGTTGTAATTGCTTTTATCCTCTATATGCCCATGACTCATTTAGTTCATCACATGAATGTATGGTTACAAAAACACAGCAATGTCAGAAATGGTAGAAAAATGATTGTTGCAAAATCTAGCGAGTAGCAAAACACAAAATAAATGAGTGTGGTGCTGAGTCAAAGAGGGAAACAGACAGTACCACAACAAGCCCTCTAAAAGCTTCTGAAATTGGAGTCACGCTGGGTAGATACTTTGTGGGAATCGTCACTCACTTGGCTAGAAAAAGAAGAACTCCCTGAGGCAGGAGGGAGAACTGGGCCCAAACCAAAGCACAATGGGCAAACCAAGAGCTGGAAATTTTCTGTGGCAATACTCTTCAGTTCCTTCTTTCCCTGACAGCTGAACTAACACTTGTCACAGGAGTGCAAACGAGGCAATTATAGCAAACCTGGATGCCACAGGGCTGGACAGACTCACTATTTATACTCCCTGCTGACAGAGCTTTCCCACTGTGCCACTGCACACAGGTTAAGGTAGAGTCCATGCTATGAAGGGCTTACAGTCGGTCCTTTTACGAAAATAGCAAAAAGAAAGACAAGCAACCCCTTTTATGATGAGAACCAAGACTCAGAGAGACGAAAGGATGCAAAGGAAATCCACAGCAGAGCCTGGAACAATGAACTCCAACTTCCCCCCAGCAAATTGCCCTTCCTTTAGGTAACTCCTTCCTGCCTGAAGTCCTACCTCTCCATTACTCTTAGGTAGTGCCAGACTGATACAGTGTCATTGAAGGGGAGATTTTGCAAGTTCTGGGCTGTCCTCCCACTGTTAAATTATTTTCCCTACAGCAGATGTGGGAGAAGGGATGTGCACCCAGCCTATACACCCTCCTATTTCAATGCTTCCCATCCTGTTGTAGGAAGGATGGGGAGGGAGCATTGGACCAGGACAGCATCCTGGTGTGCTGACCCTGCTGAAGGGATGTTAAATTCCCTGGAGAGGAGCAGGCTGTCAGCTTCAAACATACAGTGCCTCAGACTGCCGTGGGTCTGAGTCAAAGACAGTCAGTCTCCTTTGTTTCATGTGGAGGGTTAAAACACAAGGAGGCTGTTGAACAAGTTGAACTCTGCAGTATCTTCTCAGCAACTTGAAATGTGGTTGCACAACAGAGAAACTTTTACAAATACTTTTTTTTTTTTAATTATTTGTAGTTGGAGACCATCCGCTGGCCTACTTTTAGACATACATTTGAACTGGCCACATTACAATCCTGCTGCTGTTCTTGTGCAAAAAAAAATACACTTGACCTGCATAACCAAATACAGGGAAAATAAGATACTTGTCTGGAAAAGAACCACCCAAAATAGTGCTGAAGAAGTCATGCTGCTACATGCACTGTTAGTATTAAGAGACAAGAAAATGAATATTGAAGGATCTGGTAGAATTCTTCTAATGGTGTTAATGAAAATTAACTGGTAGAAAATAATACGGTGATACTAATTCGTATTTGTGTGTTTAAGGACTTGAAAACTTTCACTTTTACACTGAATACACATGTGTAAGAGTAAGAAATAATCCTTGCTGAGGTGAGACTGAGTAAGGAGTGAGTTGGGCAGGCTAGAAATCTCATGTCCAAATGTCTTACACAGTCTATTATCTAATTGACCCCTCTCCCTAATTGACATTAATTGGTGTCAGCAAAGAATTTGGCCCAGCATTTAATGTCAGCTTTCTGCAAGATTTTCTAAACCCTGACTTCCTTTGCTGAATATAGCTTTTAGCTCATAAGCTGATGCTGTTCTGTGTGTGAAAACTCCCCTGGTAGCTGGCTTTTCGTTGATCGTGCGCCAGAACCAGAGGGACTGTGTGCCAGAGGTCCTTCGGTCGGCTCCACAAGGTGCTGTGTGTAGGGAAGTGCATTTGAAGTGCTTCTACACAAACGCATGCAGTATGAGGAGTAAAATGGACGAGCTAGAAGTCTTGGCCCAGTCCCACAGCTACGACATCATCAGCATAAGTGAAACCTGGTGGGATGAGTCCTGTGGCTGGTGTGCTGCAATAGATGGTTACAGGCTCTTCAGGGGGGACAGGCAAGGTGGTGGGGTGGCAATGTATGTGAAGCATGGGCTGGACTGTGTGGAACTTCAGGTTGGGGATGGCAAAGTTGAGTACCTCTGGGTAAGGATTAAGGGATGAACAAATAAAGGGGATGTCGTTGTGGGAATCTATTACAGACCACCTGGCCAGGACGACAACGCCGATGAATTATTTGCAGAACTAAGAGATGCCTCGAGATCAATTCCCCTTGTCCTTATGGGAGATTTCAATTTGCCAGACGTCAACTGGGATCACCACACAGCTGACACGAGCAAGTCCAGGAGGTCCATAAAGCACCTAGATGATAACTTCTTGGTGCAGGTGCTAAGGGAGCCAACTAGGAAAGGTGCCGTCCTTGATCTGTTGCTGGAAAACAGAGAGAGTCTTGTGGGAGATGTGGCAATTGGCGGCTGTCATAGTGACCATGAAGTGGTTGAGTTTAGAATTTACGGTGACAGAAGGAAAACTGCCACCAAAACTTCAGCCCTGGACAGGGGGAAAGCAGACTTCAGGCTGCTCAGGGAACTAGCACAAGATCAGGCGATACCAAAATATTGGAAGGCAGGCAGGCGGGACAGAAGGCCGGCATGGCTGACCAGGGATCTTCTATTGGAGCTTAGACAGAAAAAGAAAGTGTACGGCTGCTGGAAGGAGGGCCAGGCAATGAGGAAGGAATACAGGGATGCTGTTCGTGTTTGTAGGGATAAAATTCATGGGGCCAAAGCCCAACTAGAGTTGAAGCTGGCCATGTCTGTGAGAGACAATAAAAAAGTTTTTTTTAGATATGTTAACTGAAAAAGGAGAACCAGAGAAAACAGGTTCGCTACTTGACGGGGAAGGTCTCCTCACAGACAATGACATAGGCAAAGCAGAGACATTTAATGCCTTCTTCACCTCTGTCTTCAATGCCGATGATGGGCTTCAGGACCCTGGGTGTCCTGAGCAGGAGGACCATGACGGTGGGAATGACAAACTCCCATCCAACCCTGAATGTGTGTGGGATTTGCTACTCCACCTGGATCCATACAAGTCCACCTGGATCCATACAAGTGGATGGGATCCATCCCAGGGTGCTTAAAGAGCTGACTGATGTCATCTCGGGACCTCTCTCAATTATTTCTCAACGATCTTGGGAATCTGGAGAGGTCCCAGTAGATTGGAAGCTGGCAAATGTTGTGCCAGTTTTCAAGAAGGGTAAGAAAGAAGACCCTAGCAATTACAGGCCTGTCAGTCTCACGTCAGTGCCTGGTAAAATTATGGAGAAGATGATTCTTGAAGTTATTGAGGTGCACCTGGGGGACAATGCAGTCATTGGTCCCAGCCAACATGGGTTCATGAGGGGTAGGTCCTGCCTAACAAATTTGATTTCCTTTTATGATAAGATCACCCATCTAGTTGACCAAGGGAAACCAGCTGATGGGATCTTGTTGGACTTCAGCAAGGCTTTTGACATGGCTTCCCATAGGATCCTACCAGACAAAATGTCCAGCATACAACTTAACAAAAACATCAGACGATGGGTGAGCAATTGGCTGACGGGCAGGGCTCAAAGGGTTGTGATTAATGGGGCCATGTCTGGCTGGCAGATGGTCACTAGTGGGGTCCCTCAAGGCTCCATTTTAGGGCCAGTCCTCTTCAATGTCTTTATAAATGATTTGGATTTAGGACTAGGAGGTGTTTTGAGCAAATTTGCCAACAATACCAAACTTGGAGGAGTTGTGGACTCTGTTGAGGGTGGAAAGGCCTTGCAGAGAGATCTGGACAGACTGGAGAGCTGGGCGATCACCAACCACAGGAAGTTTTACAAGAGCAAGTTCAGGGTCCTGCACCTGGGACGGGGCAACCCTGGCTATATGTAAAGACAGGGCGATGAGATGCTGGAGAGCAGCCCCCTGGAGAGGGATCTGGGGGTTGTGGTTGGCAGCAAGTTGAATATGAGCCAGCAGCGTGCCCTGGCAGCCAGCAGGGCCAACTGTGTCCTGGGGTGCATCAAGCACAGCATTGCTAGTCGGTCGAGGGAGGTGATTGTCCCACTCTACTCTGTGCTGGTGCGGCCTCACCTCGAGTACTGTGTGCAGTTCTGGGCACCACAGTATAAAAAGGACATGAAACTGTTGGAGAGTGTCCAGAGGAGGGCTACGAAGATGGTGAAAGGCCTGGAGGGGAAGACGTACGAGGAACGGCTGAGGGCACTGGGCCAGTTCAGCCTGGAGAAGAGGAGGCTGAGGGGGGACCTCATCGCAGTCTACAACTTCCTTGCAAGGCGAAGTGGAGAGGCAGGTGACCTATTCTCTGTAAACACCAGTGATAGGACCCACGGGAATGGTGTTAAGCTGAGGCAGGGGAAGTTTGGGCTGGACATCAGGAAGAGGTTCTTCACTGAGTGGGTGGTTGCACACTGGAACAGGCTCCCCAGGGATGTAGTCACTGCACCGAGCCTGTCTGAATTTAAAAAGTGATTGGGCTGTGCACTTAGGCACATGGTCTAAACTTTTGGGCAAACCTGTGTGGTGCCAGGAGTTGGACTTGATGATCCTTATGGGTCCCTTCCAACTCAGGATATTCTATGATTGGTTTGAACACTTACATTAAAAAAGATGCAACATGATATGACAAATGCAACCAAACATTGGGATGCAGTGCAATGGAAATGCTGCATCCTTTTTGATGGGTCAGCAGGAGAGAGAGAGGAGCTATTTGTCTTCGGTAACAGCACATGGAAAAGCACAGAAGTGAAAGCTGACCATATCTTCAGGGCAGGGAACGTGATACATTTGTACACACGTTTCATGTTCCTTAAACTTCTATCAGCCTCTGTTAGTCAGACTTTGTAATATCCTACACAGAGTAGACAATTATTACTATATGTATCTTCTGTCTTTCCCTCCTTCAAGAAGCATGTTAAATTGGGGGAAGAAGACCTGACTGTGGATGTGTTAACTTCCCACTATCGCGTCAGCGACTTGTGTGTACCATGCGTTTCTCACTGACGAGCAAAGAAAGGCTGAAACCTTGCATGACAGGTTAACAGCATGATTTGCAGCAACAGCTTAAATAAATGGTTGCAGGCATGAACAACTAGCAGGCAGCTAATCCTTTACAGACTTAAGAGCAGCTACTACTGCAGCCCAAGTAAATATTTCAAAATAAAATTAATTAGTGGTGACTGGTGGATTTTATTCTTTGTTTTGCAAACTCAGACTAAAATGTTAATTCCTCCATGGAACTTATGCTTTCAGTGCCAAAAAATTTTGCAGAAATGGAGCCTTCTCAAAGACAATTCATTGCAATTTTTTTCCTTACTGTAATTGTAGCAGGACTGGAAAAGTTATAGATCACCTTCAGAAAGGCAAGCTCCAAGAGATGGAGGACAGCATCGTGGCTTAATATCCAACACAATACAATGTAAAGGAAGGAAATGTTTGCTTCCTGACTCTTGTCACGAGCAAGCTCTGTCCATGGCCACAAAAAAAGACCTCTTAATAATTGCCTTACTTCCAATTAAAAGAACTTTCTTAACACCTTCCTATACACAGGTGAAAGCAGGAAGGCAAAGGCCTCAATAGAACATGTACCCAACCAGCACAAAAGAAAGTTTGCCTGAGCCTGGACTAGAAAAACAGTCCATCTACACCAGCGAAAGCTCAATGAAATTATTTGAAAACAATTTCTAATCCACAATTAAGCTTTTTTTCAAAGACTTTTTTTTTCTTCTACCTTGACCCTTGGCTCTATCGCAGAACAAAACTCTTGGGAGGGAGGAATCTGTCGTGGCCCACTGAACTGTCTGGACTATTTTTAGTTAAATCCAGCATTCCTAAAAATCTCAAGCTGCTTGTGTATTACGGAAGGAAGAAGGAAGCCCTGACACACACTGACATTTCACTCAGTGAGCACGGAACATGGCGTGCCAGCTGCTTTGCAGCATGCAGGCATCACTGGGGCTGAGTGCAGAGCTCTAGGAAAAAACAATTTTTGCCTGCAGTTTTCACCAGGAAGAGAAGGGTGAAAACGAGGGAAGAATTACTGTCTTCCCTGAGCTGGAGAAGGCAAACTAAAGGGTTCTGCTAGCAGCTGGAAGGCTGGAGAGATCTGAGGGTTGGACAATTTGCACTTACCTGCTAAACTGATGAGCTGCAGCTCCAGAGCACAGCAATGAGAAAATTGCCCAGTGGAAAGGCAGAAGTCAGGGAGGTGCTTTGCAGGTGGTGATCTTGCTGGGAGGAGCAGGACAAAGGAAGGGTAAGGAGAGAGAAATATTAAGGAGCTAACGAGCTGTTAGGGAAAGACAGAAGATGCAAGGAGTGGTTGTATGAATGGGCTGATGCTTTGGACTTTTAAGGACTAGGCATGAGGGGGAGGAATGTGGTGAGACTCATTTAGACCTCAGCATAAGTGGAGTATAGCACAAATCTGGTTAGAAAGGACAGAACTGTTGTGCTGAGTCATTTCTTCCTACCCTGCAGGTTTTTACGTTGTTTTTTTACGCTAAGCAAAATCCGTATTGCTATAAAAGTAGCATCATAGCATGGAGCCTCTCCATGGCAAATGTTGCTGAATTTGGCTAACTGCAGGTGACAGAAAGAAAGCAGACCGCAACTGTAGGGTCTAATTTAACTGTTCCTGTGTGATGGGTACTGGAAGGGCACTAGAGGTGCTGTTGTAGATTGCACTGTTTATTCAAGCAAAACATTCATTTTATGGCTATATTTGTAGTGCATTGATTATATGCAGCATGCTCCAAGTCAGTCATCACATTCTCACTCTCTCATTCTCTGCAGATGTTTCACACAATTTCTACTAAAATATTTTCAGGATTATGATCAGTTACAGACCTGCTGGCCATCCCAGCCCCTTTACAACCACCCCTCTCCACAGACAGTCCTCAGCCCTAAGGGATGATCATCCAGATGGATGACATCCAGCCAGGCCTCTAGGATCAATTTATAAAAAAAGGACATAAAATCACTGCTGAGAGAAGAGAAATAAGTTTTCTCTTGGGTTGGAAACCCAAGATCCTGCTTGCTACACCACCACAAGATTAGTGATGGGCCTTGCTCTTCTCCTTGTCCCATGAACTTCCATCAGAATTGACACATGGAGAACTTCAGAGAGAATGATCAACAATGATGCCAAGAAATATATATAGTGCAAGGGAAGTTGTTGCTGAGAGTAATTACAACCCCCTTTCCCAGGATCTTCCCTGTAGAAAGCTCTCACAGGTTAACTGCCATTGAATGTTGGTGGGTAAAGGTTTGCTAGGCATTTAGGTGCTAGGGTCCTTGTAGGGGACAAGAGGAATTAGCACTCACCTCCTCACAACAGTGAGACATATGATGCCTCGTTACTAGGCTCTTCATATGGACAAATGCAAAATCACTGCACCTGTAAGGAGCACAGCATTGTTGGCTCCACTAACCTTAAAACAAAGATGAACTGGGAGAACAGCACAGTGTGATAAACCCTTCACAGGTGTGGTTTCACTTGGACTCGAGGCTCACGTGCAGTAATATCTCCAGGCTGGTGAACTGCCACACCACTGCCTTTATCACATCAAGCAACCTACAGAAACACAATTTCTCCCTCTTCTCTCAACCATTTATCAGAACCATTTGCACAAAGCTTTGGTTAATTCTGGCTTTTCCTATTGCTCCTTTCTACTGCTGAGTGTATCTCTATGCCTCCTATTTTTGCCTTGTGATACAAAGAGCCCCTTTTGTGCAGGGCCCGTGCACAGAACGTTTCACCAAGGGAATCAGCCACAACCTTGGAGGTGCAGTGTTGGATCTGATGCTTGCTATAAACTCTCGCTGTCTCCTACTTTAGCCAGTGCATGAGTTGGCAGAGACTGTTACGTTGCTTTCAGCAGCATCTTGAGGTCTGAAGCCTCTCCTGGAAGCCCACTGAAGTCCCTCAGCCTGTGTGTGGGCAGCAGGTTGATTCCTTAGCTCTATGCTTGAATGTCACTGCTTGGTACAAGTCTGTTGCCTTACTTTCCTTCTCACTGGAACTGGCATTGGGAGGTGTTAGAAAATCAACATTAATTATATATGGCGGTTTTGATCCAGGAGCTGTTGGTGGCCATCTCTCTCAGAGGTTGGCATTTGTACCACCAACAGTGAGAAGGAGCCTACTGAAGAGGAGGGGAATGGGTCACATTCTGTCTCAGAAAGCATGTGTCATTAACCATGAGCCACTGCAAAAGAGGATTAGAGAAAGTCATTATGGATTTAGCATGAGTGTTTAGGGCTCATAGTTAATATCTGCAGCTACCCAGACTGTCTTCAGTGGTACCTTGTTTGTTCCCCTCAATTTATTCACCCAGACGTTTCAAACAGCTTGTCTAGTTAAGGGAAGTTTCCTCTGATGTGATTATGCTTTGCAACTTGTATTAGCTGTGCTCACTCCAGACACTTAAGTAAAAATCGTGAGATTGCCCTAAAGGGCTTCTTTTCTTTTATAAATAACATGTTTGGCAGAATTTCTTTGGGACTGCTAGTAGCTTGGGCCTTCAGGGGACTCTAGAATCAAACAATCATATAAATACACCACACCACAGCAACAGAAAAACATCACTGAGGATATAAATTCAGGCACTCATAAACTAGAGAAAAGCCTTAAATCTGGGTGCCTGTTCTTGCTACAGAGCTTCTGTGTATAATAATATCCCATCAAACTATATAAATGCCAACTATTTTTTCTGAGACAGCTGCCTCACCGAGTGCCCAAAATGGATGATGCTCAATAAAGGAAACAGCTACTTCAGTATTACCCCCATTCATCAGTGTTCAGCCTCTGCCTTATTTGTCATTCAAGCCGTGCTCTAGAACCAGAACCTTCTTCACAGGCATTTTCCTATTACCCTCATCAGTCAGCTCTCCCCAGACCCACAACAGACAATTTTACAGAAGGGGAACTGAGGAGCACAGCCTTTAGCTGTGGGTTTTGTCAGAAGCATCGAGCACACAGGGTGGAGGCAAGGATGCAGCTCCACACTCCGGGAGCTGAGGCAAGCCAGCTGTGCAAATCATCCATGCAGGTCCATGGGGTGGCTGGAGTAGAAGGAAAAACTGTAAAAGATCCTGTTGTAATGTATCAGCACTCAGGGACTAGAACACTATGGGCACTGGCTGCATTTAGAAGGAAAACTGTGATGCCTTTATATAATACTTTAACAAAAGTAAGAGCTGACAGCCCTGATTATCCTCAAACCTACCCAAAATAGCACCACTGCCATAGAGGTATGGACCATGCTTATCACAGAAACAAATGCTACAGTAAAATTACCCAAATTTTCCAAAATGTAAATTAGTTTATTTTCTAAGGAAAAATGAACACCTGGTATTAGCTACACTACAGCTAGACAATAGAAGATTGGACACAAAAGAAACTTGTACCCTTGAAAGCCACACTTAGAATACACCACGCAAACTCCAAGAATTAAGTAGCCTGGATCTACATTTGAGTAGTCAACACACCTTTTTTTCCCCTGAAATGTTCATTTTGACTTTCCAAATTAGATGCAAAACATCCCTGTAGAGAGGAAATCTTCCCAGTGTCCATTCATCAGACAGCCCTGTGAGCACCAGGGTAGGGACTGATCTTATTTATATGCTGTGTTGTCTGAGGGTGTTTTTGCCATTTCAAAAAATAAATTGTCAACCCTCCAGAAATGTCACTATGTTCTTCACCTGTCCCCTACATTTACTTACCCCTCTCAGTTGCCCCAGGCTTCTCAACTTTCTGCATCCTATCAGCCCTTGAAGGCATCTTCTCCCCCTACTCCTCTTTTTCCATCTCAACTCCCTGTCCCCTTTCCCCAAACCAAACAAACCCACATTCTTATCCCCTAATAGAGGCTGATTCATGGTTTTGCGTCAGCAGCGACTTTCCTGGCCAGACCCAGCTTTAATTGAGGGATTCCAGCTGCTGCCAAGCAGTGTGTGACATCTGGGAAGCTGGGCTGCCACCAGCCCAGGGGCCGGCTGCGTCAGGAACATGAGCTGGGTGATGGCCAGGGCCAGCGTGACGCAGCAGAGCAAGAGAGAACACACGTAGTTGTTGCCTTCAGAGATGGAAAGGCAAAAAGGAGATCCTGAATTCTATCAGTTAGACCTCAGAGTGCACCACTGGGGCACACACAAGCCAATTAATCAAGTCAAACAAGGGAATTGTCGTAGGTTAAAAAAAGAAGACCTTGGCTCAGGCTTTGAGTTTAATCTAGAACATTGGAGGAGGAATAGAAAAATGAGGAAGGAAAAAAGACAAAGTGATTTTGCACTTTCAGAGCAAGACTTTTGTCCAAGAAAGTTTTCTGACCATCTCCAAGGACCTGCTGTGTATTTGTCCCTCTTCCTTTCAAATTTTCAGTCCATATGAGCTATGGCTGGCACAATTCTGGAGTATCAGTACCAGACTGCAAGTCACATGTAGACACTACTCCCTGTTACATAAAAGGACCGGATATTTGGACACTGACACCAAGCTATTAGAAGTTTGGGGTCTTTGAACATTCAAATACTGCACAAGAGGTTCAAAAAGCGAAGCCTGGGCTTCTGAAGCAGCACATAATCTTGTCACACCTAGGATACTCTGCATTGCTGCTCTAGAGATTCCAGGTTCCCAGCTCTGCCCAAAACCAAGCCAAGGGTCCTGCAGAGCAGTTGGAGCTGTTTCAAAGCTGCTGGCTCATCAATGTCTATTGCTGACTGTAGCAACTACATCAGAAACTAGAAGCAGTAAGCAACCGCAGACTCAGCTGAAGTATTAACCTCTCTGCCCAGGACCATTTTTAGCATACACTGAGATCTATGAATGTGAAAAAGATGAGCTTGTAATTTGTACACAGAATATAGTGAAGTTTATTCATGTAAAATACATATACTTGAGGCTTGCATTTCTACATCTTGTCACATACTTATCCTTCAGGACACTTGGTTCACTCCCACTTAAGGAGACAGCGAGTTTTACTTTTGCATCAAGTACAGAGCTACCAATTGGTTTTCCCTGAATAAGCTATTACTGAAGCTAGCAAAACAATACAAACAATTTATTCAGTACAAACTATACAGAGATTCTTTTCACTGGTTTAGGGAGTTAGTCACAATGTATCAAGGATAAAATGATCCCAAATATACATACAGATAGCTGGAATTCAGGTGTCTCCAATACCCACACCTGTCAAACCCAAGATTTTTGTATTTAGACACTTGAATGCTGGCCCATACTCCAGTTCTTCTCCCTGTCTCTATTCATTTTAAAGTAAGCCAAATCCCACAACAGTCCATCCTTTTAAAGGATGACAGTCTGATTTTGCCAAGAGTAGCAGTGACATGGGAAACAGCTTGCTTCTGAAGAATGCGTTTGGTGAGTGCATAAGATTGGTCAGTCTAGCAAGGAGTTGTGCAGCAAATGCAGTTTGTATAAATTATTTCATGCAAGTGCATTTTTCCCCCCTTGTACACATATGATTTCCATTACTCAAGACAAGCACAAGACAAGTAAATTGGAAGCCCTTCTGATGGGCAGAGAGCAAAATTAAGTTATGTATGGTGTTTGCAACTCAAAAAACAAGCATAGCAAAGATCTCTCAAAAAAATAAAATAAACTCTATGAAGCAGTTAGAAAAACAAGTATCTTTACTGCTGAAATTGTCTGGCTCAACTATTTTTGGAAAATTGCTAGAATTGCCTTGCCCAAGAGTAACTTCTTACAAGCAACCAGCATTATGTAACCAAGAGAAAAAATATGATGAACCACATGTTCTTCCCACCTAATGTTGCAATACTTTTGGTTGATTCCATGTTTAACCCCCTTGTTCCCCCAACTGAAAAGCTTGCAGCACTTCAGCACCGAATTTTGAAAAGCGGAAGTTGCATCACATGACTGATAGACTTCATTTACAATCTTAACAGCTTCCTCCAATACCCAGGGTAACTAGCAGCTCTTAACACTAACCTAATTATAACGTTGTCAGGAACAGCATTCAGTCATCAAAATCTGGGATATCGTCATAAGAATAGCCCCGGTAGCCTTTGGAAGCGTAATACGCAATGCGCAGGTGGTAGAAGCCTGGGAGAAATACAAGAATCCCGATGATGAGCACGGGGATAGCACGGTCCGTTCCCTGCGTCAGACAGAAAAGCTGTGTAAGTGCAGTAAGAGATCCGTATCAAGGTCTTTTCTTTTACTCAGGTCCTGCCTCACCAAGCAAACTACCACAATTATTCATCCCTAAGGCCTGGCTAGCTGACAAAAATAAAATCCATCTCAAATCTCTCAGCTTTCTTCAGGCTGAGCTCTCATTCCTCTTCCTGGTCTGGCATCCACTTGATGCTACAGGAAACCTCAACTGAACTTTTCCTTTAGGCTGCAGGGGTGGCTCCTCCTGACACTCATCACATGACAAAATTGCCAACCACAGGCTGAGTCCTGCGTGCTTGGCTAAGCTCTCCTATCTGGGCCTGGACTGCTTCCGATATGGCCAAAATGCTGCTGTTTCCACAACGATAAGCAGCAGCTGCCAACTGTAAAGCAGTTCCATACTGCACAGGGTAAAAGGAGAAGTGTGTCACAGAGCAGCACAATGTCAACTGCAAGCATCAGATCTGCTTTCAATGGATCGTAAAGGCAGAGAGGGGAGAAAAGCAGTGCTGTGTTCTGTATAGCAATCAGGTACCCCTTAGAGAAAGTGGGGGATCTGTACTAGAAGTGTGATGATCCCACGAGTTTTTCACCAACACAGCACACTGATCTCTGCAATGATGTGGCATTAAAATGGAACTGTACCACCCGGTAGGACAGAAATTCATCCCTTCCTTGCAGATGTCCTCTCCAGCTATGGACCCACTGCCAGGTTGCTAACTAGAGATAAAGGACTCTACTGCCAGAGGAGCAGGCCTGTTTGCAAATACCAGTGTGGCAGGAAAGGGGATTACTTTCTTGTTTACAGGTCTTTTCCTCTGAATTTCTGCACTGAACATGATAGTTCTGGCAGGCTTTGGGAGGGGCAAACAATACAGAACTTGTAACAGAAGTGTAATCAAACCACTTACACCTTTGCTAATGTATCCTGCCAAGAGGAGGGCTCCTATGATAATGAGAAAGGTCCCAATCATGAAGAGCACGACAGCAAGTGCAATTGCCTTGTAGGGAATTTTTGGTGGGCTCTTCTTGAACTGGATGGAAAAGGGAAAAAAAAATTAAACAGCTTACCCCAGCACAGATCCCTTCTAACCACGGCATAGATGACAGCAGATGAAATACTGCAGTGGCCCTGAAGCATGGCTCTGTAACAGCCTCTCTGCAACAAACCCTGCCCATGCAGACCCTGTTGTCCAAGCTAGCATTTATACCCATTGCTCTGATTTTCATCTCCCTCCAAAGAAATGAATCTGACGCTACTAAACAAGAAATGTTTTTTCCAGTTCTGCTCTGTGAGCTTTCTAGAGACTGGAGTGATGGCTTGTGGATAGTTTTGTACCTTTCTGGTGGACACAAACAAAAAGCAGTCTCACATGCATATGCAAAGCTATAGCAGCCCCCACTAGTAGCTTAAAGTCAGAGAAGCAGTACAAAGAGGTTTTCTTTGCTACTTTTTACCTGCAGGTCAATATATCCATCATCAGTACTGGAAAGCTTGGAATACTTGACTTTACTACTGGGAATGCCAGCAGACAGATTCATTCTTGATGACATCATTACAATGATACTTGGGAATCAGCTAGAACCTGGAAAACAAAAATAGCAAAAACAAACAAACAAACAAACAAACAAAAAACAGAGCAAACTGGATGATAGAGTCAGATGTGGATTATGTTTCCTAAGAAAAGCACAGGAGTGTTAAGCCCATACTAACCAAAAAAAATCCTTGTACACTTTCATGAATTAAATCTTTTAAAATAAAATTTTGTATGTAATCCTAAAATAGAAGGCATAAATATAGCTGCAGACAAGTTTGGATTTGTCAATATTTCAAAACAAAAAACCCGACAGAAGTTCCAGAATAATATGCCCTATATCAGCCAGGTCTTATTTGCAAGGAGATCACACTTCCAGCAGTAAGATGTCTGACATCCACCTATTTCTAAATAGGGCCACTATTAAATACACCCAAACCAAAATTAAACAAAGCAACTTTTCAACCAGCCAGATATTTTGCAATAAATCCATTTTGAAAAAAAAAAAAAAAAAACAACAAAAAAAACAAAACACTGGAAAATAGAATGAAACGGAGCTGTCATCCCTAAGACAGTTTGAGTCATGACTCAGCAGGAACATGACAAGGGGATGGGGTGGTTAGCACATGAGGCAACCAAAAAACAGCAGGGAGTTAAAAAGCATAGGTCACTTGTCTATCTAGCTGCAAGGGAGGAAGTATTCAGGGTTGAACTTTATTTAGTTACACAGAGCCATACCCTGCAATTTCACTACGCAGTGAAGCCTAGCCCTGTGGTTTTGCTGCCAGCAGTGACAGTCCTGGGTGATCAGAACAGGGAGATGGGCAGAGCCAGCTTTCTTCTGTGCCTTGGAGCCTGTCTTCTCGTAAACTGAAGCCTGGATCTGGCCTGCCAACACATCCCTGACGCACTGCAGAGCCATTTAGCAGAGGCTGACAACTCCCAGCTGCTGGTTTCCCCTATACAGGACCTGTGCATTAGGCACCTGCTCACCCACAGCCTTGAACCTGTGCTGAATTCCCAAAGAGGCAGAATACACATTTCCTGCACTGCCTTCAATATATATATTTTTTAATTTCTAGGAAAGCTTGAATTAAAAAAAAAAAAAAAAAAAAAAAAAGGCATATATCCCAATTGCTTCTACAGGAAGGGATAAAGATGCGCTTTCCGTAATGGTATTTGACAGCTAAGGTAATAGCAATTCCTCAAAATATTTAGTCTCCATTTGAACCGAAATTCTTTGTCTCACTCACATTAATAACAATTTCTCCTTTTTCATCTCTGCTCACATCATGTTGGCACATTCCCTTGCCATCAGGTTTGTTTCTCATTCAGTAAATTTGACTTCTATAAAACATCCAACACCTTCCGATCTTAAATCCCCCTCAGCTATACCTTTAACTTGAACTTTTTTGCTTTTTCTATAGGAAAAACACATTTCTATCCCTATGGGTAGTAGGGGTATCACCCACCTACTGGGTAGTAATGCACACCCTCAGCTTCTTTACACATCTTATTTTTACTTTTTTTTTTTTCTCCTAAGTTCATTGTGCTAAAATGCTGCCAAAGCCTCCCACATACCCATGGGGTCAAAGTGCAGAAAGGGAAGAAGACGGGAAATCAGCACACCCAAACCCTGTCAGATGTCCTGACTCTGTTCCTGTTTGCCCCCACATTCCGTGGGACTGTTTACTGCCAGTCACATTATTTACCAGGACATTCCTCGTGGCTTCCCAGCAATGATTTCCAGTTTACACCTGCGTGAACCATTCCAGCCCTCTGCATTTCCTTGCTAACCAACACGAGGCTATGAAGCACAAAGCGCAGCCTCAGACCTCGTGTTTAAGGGCCACTTTCAAGTCCACTGAGCTTCACTCTCCTTGCACTCAAGAACAGCAGAGGATCAGAAACAAGTTCACTGCTGTGCTCTTTAGGCAAACAAACGGGGAGGCGTGCTTGCCATCCGAGCCCTCTGATAACGCTGTGCTACCGCCATGCTCCACACGCAGCCTGGGGCAGGACTTCCAGGGTAAGCAAGGGCTCAACGGGGAACATGCAAATAAAAGCAATCGTGCCACTTTCAGGCCCAAATCCTGTTTTTCCTTCTCACAGCAGCGATACGAATTTCTACCCTCTGCACCTGGGCGTAAGGAAGGAAGGGGGATGTCATTTCCTGCCCCATCCGGGACCTCAAACCTCACTGCTGGTGTGCCAAACCCATCTGATCCCCTCCCGCGGAGCCAAAATGGTTTCTCTGCTGCGGAACAGGAAGTTCACAACATGTCTGACGACGCCCCGAGAGCTGCACGCTGTGCCGGGAGCAGCGTTAGAGCTCTGGAAGGTTAACCCAAGCCAAGAGGTACCGACAACTCACGCTGCTGGTCAAACCCATCACTCCCGCTGCCGCTTCTCCTCCGCGCTCCAGCCGCAGGCCGACCCAGGAAGTTTATTCAGTGCCTGTCGTTTCCTTCCAGGTTATGGCAGCAGCCGCTGGCTGGCTCAGCTCCACTGAGTTATTTTGAGCCTTGCGCTCAGGACTGGCAGCTGAAATTAGAGCTGCGGGGCAGGTCGGCATGGACGTGCCTTGTGGTCACCCTGGTCATGCAAGACCCACCGAGCACCAAGCTGACCTGTGTTTGTGACTGGTTTATGAAGCAGAATGTTCTTAGACACATTGCTGCTACATGTGCTTTAAAATATTGATTTTCTAAAGGAAGCTCAGGACATAAACTTGTCTGCAGGGAGAGCACACCCCTCCATCACAGCTATGTGTATTTAACAGAAAAAGTACAGCCAGAAAAGTATTTTCATAGACTCATAGAATATCCCAAGTTGGAAGGGACCCACAAGGATCACCGAGTCCAACTCCTGGCACCACACAGGTCTACCCCAAAATTCAGACCATATGACTAACAGCGCAGTCCAAACACTTCTCAAACTCTGACAGGCCTGGTGCCGTGGCTATGTACCTGGAGAGCCTGTACAGCGTGCAACAGCCCTCTCAGAGAACCTCTTCCTGATGTCAAACCTGAACCTCCCCTGCCTCAGCCTGACACCATTCCCTCAGGTCCTATCGCTGGTCACTAAAGAGAATACCAATTTTGAACACCTGGAACTGTATTAATACAGATAAATCACAGCTGGGAATTTGCTTAATCCAATTGCTCCCCGCCCCCCCCCCCCCCCAAAAAAAAAAAAAAGGAGTAAGTTGCAGAAATAAGCATGGTTCCAACTCCTGTAAATCAATAAGATATGCACTGAATTTAGTGCATGGAACACCAGATCTGAAGTTTCAAAGACCATCCCCACTTTGTTCTATAAATTAGACTTTCTTGACATGGAGAAAGGTACAAACTTCAAAGTTTACCTCCTCAAACATGGGGAAGCAGCATTTTACCACACCTCCCCATTTTTTAATGTTTATTTTTAAAGATGGAGCAGCTGTTGTTTCTTCAGTATTTGGGTACAGCAATGGCAAAGTAAATATTCAGCTAATGTAAGGATTTAACCAGAGAGATCATACACAAATCACACACAAGAGCATAGATACTGATGCTAAGACATTTCCTACTACAAGAAACTACTCAACTTATAAGCAATTAAACCACATGGTTTATTTTTAGGTTTATGGATAAAACAGCAGGAGTTCAGTAATCCCCACTATAGCAGGAAGTTGCACAAAAATGGATATGCTTCACTAGCACAGCTTTAAGCATCAGTAAAACAGAATCCTTCTTATTTCAACACAATGGATCTTTCGTTCTTTACCAAAGTACTTATCTACCTGCTGCACTTGTGGGTACCACAGTGGCAATCCATCTGGGAAGCATTACATTTGAGGTAAAGTAGCCTCCTAATTCTGAGGTACCCAATGTAGTTCTCGACAACTCTACTTCTGCTGAAAAGTTTTAGGACAGCTAGGTTAGATCTTGCTTTCAGGTGTGTTCTTAGAGGTACTGAACTCACCAACAACCTCAAAATTCAAGAGAATAAATGGTGTATGCTCTGGAGATATGAGATAGTTCAGGACAAAAAAAGTCATGCAGGGACCTACACGCAGAAGAAAACTGCAATGAAATATTTTCTAAAAAATAATTGCTGCTATAAATGAAGTAAAAAGGGCAGAGAGCATTAAAAAATCCTGTTCCCAGGCTTTGAGGAGGTACTAGTTTCAATCATGAAAGCACTCACCATTATGATGCAGCAGATCTGTTTCTTAATCAGTACTGCCACCTTGTGAAGTTCCGCTAAATCAGTTGGATTACCCAAGTTTACAGGCATGCTCAGTATCATTGTAGATGACCAGTGGAAAGTACAGGGCCTCCTAAACCTGAACGCACCCACAGTACTTAAGACCCTGTAAGCACTGCTTGCTACACAGCACTGATCAAGCCAGGATTGCTTTTAATTGTTTCTTCATGAAGAAATGGAGTCACTGATTCACTATGAGGGGTGTGATTTATGGATAGCTTATAGCACTATAGTAAGTGAAAAACATTAAGTAGCTACCTACCAAAACAGTTTTTGGATCCTGTTTTTCATGATCAAGCCTTTGGTATAAGCCTTGTACCTCCACGAATGATGAGTAGAAAAATATAAATAAGAGGAATTGCTTGTGATCTAGGTGATTGCATTACACTTGTCAACAGACATGTGGAGACAGAGCCACCAGAGAAATGGAATGTGCTGTCAGACCTGTCCAGGAATGGTTTAACATCAACAAGCTAGTAACAGAGCTAAAACCAGGAAAGGCTCATACAGCTTTCTACACCAAGCAACTTGCAGTCACTGTGACACTGTGGCATGTGTCTACACACCCTCAAGACTTCATTTGGAGTGCAAGTGATAGCTACAGGATTAGTCGCTGCTGGAACAGGCAGCTCTTGCATCTGCAAAGCTAATGCATTTTGAACATGTTCTACAAACCTCCTCTGCTTAAGGAAACAGTATTTTTGATGGATTATTCAGACTGTAACTACCTCTTCCACTTCAACACATTTAATCAAGGTATTTGGCCACCCATGCAGTGGTTTATCAGCATAGTTTGACAGAGCATTGATTAATCCATCCACATTTAAATAGTATAAGAACCATGAAATTTATTTCCACTTTCCATGTTTCAGTTAAAAGTATCAGCTTCAAAAATAAATGGATGGAGGGCAAATAAACTTGTGGCATAATTAAACAGCAATCCTAGTCAACTATAGTTCCACAGCTGAAACTCTAGGAATCATCTTTATTGAAGTTAAATAATGCACTCCACTCCTCCTCTAACACATAACAGAAGAAGTAAGGTATTTCACCAAGAGACAGCATCTAAGATTACTGGAAGCATAGGAATAGGCTAGAAAAAAAAAATCCTGTTTCAAATGACACCAGTATAGCAAAATAGCAAGTTGAAAAATATTTACAGAGATATCTACACAACATGCTTAACAGTACTCATTGGATGCTCCAATGTACTGAAACTGCTGGTAATATGGCAGACACCATTTCCTTCTCAAAGTCAGTTGTTCTCTCCAGGAACGACCAGATCTCCCCCTCAAGTCCCAGTCCAATTAAGAACCTTCTTGTTGGTCTTCAATCTTTGGAGCCAGATAGTATTTTAAGTGTCCCATATCAGCAATCTTGTACTCCACAACTGGTAAAGAAAAAAATGCAAAAAATTCTTCAGAAGAGCCATTCAGTCAAGACTTGTTACAGTTCTAAGGTAGAATTTAAAAGGAGATTTTCAATGAGATCTGCATTTACTTACCCAGAGGAACATCTGCAGACATGCTGAGTGTTACTGTAGGTGACAGAGGAGTAGCTTTGGTAAAAAAATTCAAGTACCTCAGAGCAAAGGTCAGTTGGACTGGCTCATTCATCTCTATTGTAACCTAGAACAGCCAGATAAAAAGTTTGGTAAATGCAAGGTGCAACAAGTACTCTGAAGTTTCTCAAATAATTCAGCACCACAGACCCAGCAACACCTCATGCAAAGGCAGCCAGTGGTATTCCCCATTTTGCTCTGAGAGCTGTTTGCAGGTCCCATGGCTAAGAACCCAAAGCTGGCAGAATTTGTTGACTTGGTTCTATAAATCAGAGAAATATGTGATCCAGTGGCCCATCTTTAGCCTCCAGTCATATTAATAGAAAACTCAATGCTGAAGACACCACAGTAAGCATTAACTTACAGCTTCTTCTTCTTTGTCCACATTACTAGTCTGTGACAGCTTGATGTTTCCATTTCCTAGCTCTCCATTAGCTGAAAATTTTACACCATCTTTTGCACAGGAGATGACAACTGCATCACCAATATGGCTGAGATCTCTACAGATGCGTGCAAATTCAGCAGAAGGCATTTTCACTACACAACTATATTCCTGTTCCTGTGAAGAAAAAAAGTGACACAATTAAACTCTTAACAATCTTCTAGGTAAAGTCAATACACTTAAATTTACATAGTCTTTAGTAAGGAAGTGTTGTTACAATCTCAAACCGTGTCTGACACGAACATGAAAAAACACGCTAAGAAACAATCATTCAACTACTTACTGGAATTCCAAGCTGCTCCACATCAAGATCCATTAGCTTCATCTCATAATCAGAAACCTTTTCTTGATCTAAAGAAAAAGCATAGTTTTAACAAGTGTTTCAAATAAACTACCAGTCAGGATTTAACTTCTGCCCCCAACTTTTTACCAAAGTAAAAACACCTTAAGTGTGACAATAGGATCCACCTTGCTTGAAATCTAAGCAACATGAACAGCCTTTTGTAGGTTGTTAGAGGAAAGCTGCCTGCCAAAATGTGCCTAAGAACATTTTTATGTAGCATAAGGAAGATTCTCTTTCAGATGAAGCACTGGTCAAGTAAACCAAGTTCCCATTTCTAGGCCATGACTCCATCAGGTGACTCCTCCCATTTCTGACCACCCTCACAATCAGCACGTCCTGCTCGGTCTATGATGATTGCCTAAATTATCCTGGTAGCAAATGAGCTCTCCAATACAAGACTCACTTGGTGCTTCAAACACTAGAGCCAATGTATCCGCATTGTCTTCTGCTCTGAGCGTTATGATGTCTTCATTTCCAGCACATTTCAGTATTTTGGACATGCTAGGGAAAAAAACAAGCAGACCGCTCACGGGATTGCAAACAGAGAAGAAACACCAAGCCAGCTGCCTGCTGCGGAGCGCTACAGCGAGTTTATCGAGAAGCTGTCAGCAACCTCGGGTACAGCGTGGCTGCTCTAGACCCCGGGGGCTGCCCACGGCCGCCGGGCCGTTACAGAGGAGCCCCGACCCCCACGCTGAGGGGCGGGCAGCGCGGGGGCAGGGGGAGGGGGGCTGCGGGCGCCATGGCGCCAAACCGCCGCGCTTTCCCGCCACAGCGCGCCGCGCGCATGGCGCCGCCAGTGACGTCACGGGCCCCGCGCGCGCGCTGCGAAAGACGGCGCGAGAGCTCTGAGGAGAAGGGGAGTGGGGGGGGGAGGGACACTGGGGGGGGCGCACAGCGGGGCTCCGAGCGCCCCGAGCCGCTCCTGAGGGCGCGGGGCCGCCTCGGCCCTCACGAGCCCCCGCCGCGCCGCCTCCCCCGAGCCCCAGCGGGCCCCGCCGCCCTCAGCGCCGCAGGCCCGGGGCTGCCCCGCGGCGGCCCTGCCGCTACCTGGAGAGGTTGACGCCCATGGCGATGTTGCGGTCGCAGCGGTAGGTGTCGAAGCCCTCGGAGCGCAGCGTGAGCTGCACCAGGGAGACGTGCGAGGAGTCCATGCTCTGCAGGCTGATGCCGCCCGAGCCCAGGTCCCAGCAGGCCTCGGTGATGAGGTCCTTGAGGGCCTCCAGCACCCGCTTGAGCACCGAGCCCTGCACCAGCCGCGCCTCGAACATCCTGGCGGCAGCAGCAGCACCGAGCAGCACCGGCACAACGACGCGAGCGGGACGCGCAGCCGCCGACTGCTGCCGCCCGCCGAGCCGCCCCTTTATAACCTCCTACGCCCCGCCCCCCTCCGCGCCGCAGCCAATGGCGGGCGGCTCTGCTCTGCCGCCGCGGGGCCCGATCTCGCTCACGTGACAGCCTCCCCGCGCTCCGAGAGACCCCGACGCCACTCATCCCCTTTAGTCCCGCCCCCCGCCCGGAAGAAACCAATCAGCACGCGGCTTGCAAGCGCCGCGGCGCCAGCCCCACCTCCGCGGCCATGCCGCGGCCTCCTATTGGCCGGCGGCGCGCGGCCCTCGGCCTCCCCCTGGCGACGGCGGCGGGCGGGGGGTGGCGGCGGCGGCGGCAGCAGGAGGAGGAGGAGGAGGAGGAGGAGGAGGAGCGGCAGCAGCGGCAGCGGCAGCAGGAGCATGAGCGAGCTGCGGCAGCGGCTCGGCCGGGAGCCCGGCGAGGCGCAGGAGCCTGAGGAGAAGGTGTGGAGCGGGCCGGGGGCGGCGGGCAACGGCGAATCGGCCGCGGGCCTGAGGCGGGCGGGCAGCGCGGCCTGCGCGCCCCGGGCCTCGGGGGGGGGGACCCCGGGCTCCGCCTGCAGCCGGCGAGGCCCAGGCCGGGCCGGGGGGGGCTGGTTCGGGGGGCTCCGGCCCGCTCCGTGCTGTGCCGTTCCCGAGTGCGTGCCCTGTGATGCGCGTTCGCAGCAGAACTTCGGTAGCTTGGTGGCGTTGGCCCGTTGTGCCTTTCCGAAGAACAGCCGTGAGGAGGAAATCCGCCTGTTTTCCTGCAGCATCCCTCCTGTTCCAAACCCAAGCGCAGTTGGGTGCATGGAGCTGGGCCATCAGTGGGTCACGGCTTCACCCTTGTCTTCTTTACTCGTGTGCCCCCCTGGCGTGTGAGGGAGCAAGAGGGATGAGCAGTCGAGCAAAAGAAAGTTTTTCTACGTAAATATTAACTGCAGGGTCACAGAGGGCAAAACCAGGAGGGAGAAGCAGTTCTTCACTGCCTTCCCGTTAAATGCGTGTATTTTGGGGCAGCCCGATGCTTGTCCATTTGCCCTTAGTAGCATCGTATTGATGGGTTTCCTCTGCTGATGCATGAAGTACACAGTTCCGAGAAGGATGAAATCACATGCAAAACTGCCTTTGCAATTGAAATAATACATTTAATGCTGTTGAATATTACATTTAATGCTGTTTTGAATGCCAGGTTAACACCTGCCAGACGCTGTGCAGTCAGGTTTGGGTAAGCTTTATTGTTCTGATGTCATTGGGGTGGGAATTGGAACAGAAAGCTCTGACAGTATCAAGAACAGGTTGCCTTCATGTGGATCCAAGGTTTCTGCCTTTTTTTGACTGTTACGTGAAGTTGTCTGACATCCAGATCTGCTGACCTCCATAAAGACAGAAATAGGACCACTTCTATATCATCGTTGTTGTGCATAGAGCAAAACTTGACCTCTAAATATGCATATTTGTCTCAGTTGGAATTTACTTTGCAGTGGAAAATCTTCAGGGACTTTTATGTTCCAGAACTTTTGTGGGAGTTGGAAGACGTCCCTCAGAAGCCTGGAAGTACCAGTGCAGCTTAAGTGGTATGCAAACAAACTCCCTCGGCCAAGCTGCGATCTTGCTTTAGCTACTTGTGATGTGTTCCTAAAGAAGGTCAGAGGGCCGCTATTTTGAGTGCAGTCTTGTCGTCTTCAGGCAAGTATGCTTTTTTTCATATAATGAGCTTCCTAAAAGGCTCCTCTAATATTACCTTGGAGTTGATGACTTGAAGTACCTTACAAGAGAGAGGGAACATTTATGTCATACTGCTCATCCTAAAGTAGCTAAGATGAATTGCAAGAGAAAAAAAAAAAAAAGAAAAAAGAAAAAAAATGTTTTCAACCAATGAGCAACAGCTCCTCTGAGGTGCTGAACATGATGTCTCTTACCATTAGCAAGCAGTTACAGGAGGCAGAGAATTTCCCAAAACTGCTAAAATCAAGCATGGTAGGAGGTTACCTGGTAACAGCAATACTGCCATTAGAAAAACTATACAGCATTGCACTTTGCATGGCAGTGTACTTGAGTGGCAGATTTTTCTTTCCTCTCTTGAGATCAAGCTGTTGTGTTTTAGTGCTTGGGAAACGCCTGGCAGAGTCTGGGAATAACATCAGTAGAAAACCAACACAGCAAAATTGCTTGCGCTCGTACTGTTTACCAGTGGTCTCAGCCTGCCCAGTGCATGATGTGCCAGTATTTCTGTCAAGAGGGGAGATTCCCATTTCTGCCTTGTCATTCAGTTGGCATTGCCACAAAAAATAATTTAGCAATGCGTGTTGTATTCTACAAAAACTTGTGTCTTCTGAAAAGACCTCTCAGTTTCTTAAAAGAAAGAAATTAAAGAGATGTAAACAATAAGGTTGGTTTCAAGATTAGACCCAGAAAGTTGTATTTTGCACTTGTTTTTTCACTTTGCTCTGTTTGGATAATGAAAGAGGGAGGCTGGTTTCACATTCTGGTGCTCTAACCCTTGTACAGTGTCACAGCTTTGATGTTTTCCTGCCTTTTGGCACAAAGCAATACTTAGAGCTGAAACTGTGCTGCTTCAGTTGAGACCATCATGCAAGAACATTTTAGAATCAGGTTTTGTAAAACTGTTGTGCAGCACAGAGTCTTTGTTCCAAAGGGAAGAAGGCAACATGTGTTTGATCAGTGAACTCCGTCTGATGTCTCTAGCTAAAAAAAACACCATCACCAACAAAAAAAAAACAGGGAAACTTGTATTGATGTTATTTGTTCTTTTAGCCGGAATAACTTAAATGCTGTTAACTGTTGCGTAAATAATGTGTAAATAACTGAGCTTAGATGATTGAAACAAGTTCTAGCTTATCATTTCCATATAGATTCCATCCTCTCTTGCTCTTTGTAGACTCTTCCCTTTGCTTGGCAGACTCATTCCTTGTGTAGAACAGGAGGTCACTGCCTTCTGTCCTGTGCTGTGTACCTCCCACAAAGTCACTTTTTCTCTTCCACTTTCCAAAGAGAATAGGAAAGGTGTAAAAGAAGATTGTTCCACAATGCATGCACAGCTCCTGAACGTTTCTGCAGTCCTGAAGGTTTCTGCTGTTCTAGAATCGTAGAATGGCTTGGGTTGGAAGGGACCTTAAAGATCATCTAGTTCAAACCTCCCTGCCACAGGCATGGACACCTCCCACTAGACCATGGGATGTTGAGATCATTCCTCAGTAGTGGCTTGTGCTTCATTTGACTGCACAGGGAGAACAGAAGGTTTTTCCTTATCTTTTTCCTGATTGTGTGTTTTCCTGATCTGTTAGAATGGTTCCAGAGGAGGGCTACGAAGTTGGTCAGAGGGCTGGAGCACCTCTCCTATGAAGAAAGTCTGGGAGAGCTGGGGCTGTTCAGCCTGCAGAAGAAGAGGCTCTGGGGTGACCTTATTGCAGCTTTTCAATACTCAAAGGGAGCTTATAAAAATCCAGGGGGGTTCTCAGGCATCTGTCCCCTGGGAGGGGAGGAGGGCAGAATGAGGCAGGCTTATCTGGGCTGCAGATCACACCCTTACGTCACTTGTGGTTTTGTTTACCCACCCCTTTGTCACCGGCAGTCAGTGTATCTCTGGAAAATACCATTCCCTTTCAGAGGGGTGGTAGCTGCAAAAGCAAATAGAAATACTCTGTGCAGCCACGGTGCTGGCAGGCATTTTTGTGCAGTGGCCCATGCAGATGAGTTTTTCCACTGGGCAGCGTTTGGCACCTTGTCGCACCCACAGCAGCTGGGCATCCTCATTTCTTATGGGAAAAGTCAGTGACTTCAAGGAGTGCTGTTTTGCTGACACGAGGGCTTGAAGAGCAGGCATGTAGTGTGCAAGGGTGAAAGGTTTCGGAAAGGATTTGATAAAGAAGACTTTTTTTTTTTTACAGCTCAGTGGACTGGTGACATGACTTTTTATCTGGATACGTTCATATTGTGTTACGAAAAGCAATGGACTCTGGTATCCAAGCCTCGTGATTCTTGTACTTCCAGGCATTTTGCAAGGTTGCCCTAGTGATCCAAAGCGCCTTGAAGATGCTGAGCGAAGCGAATGCTGGGTGTTTGAATGCTGGTGCTGACAAGTAACTCTCCCTTAGGTCTGGGAGAGTGAAGGGCTGCCTGGCACGTGCTGGAAAGGATGGAGGAGCTCCAGTTTTGGTGTTCGGCTCAGGAGAGGGTGGGTGCAGGATGTAGAGAAATAACAGTGCAGGAGCCATGAAGACTTACATGGTTTCAAATCCTGTTATTACCCAGGTCACAGGAGAGCTCCTAGTTGTTGGGAGTTTGTGATACAAGATGATGTTCTTGAAGGACCAAAATGAATAAACCACCTCCGTGATGCCTCTCTTCCTTTTCACCCATGGTTAAAAGAGGCAGAACTACAAGCCATTTTTCAGACCCACCCCAAAGTTTTATTTTTTAAATAGCTCTTAAGATTTTAGGCTTGATACTGAGCATCAGTTTGTCTGGCTTCTGCTGAAGCATGAGCCTCTTTTATTCTTTGTAGATAGTAACAATCTCAGGTCTGATGTGAGAATACATTTCAGCTTTCCTTGCTGTTTAATGTTCAGTTTTATGTGTTACTGCCAACAGGAGTGCATTGCTGTCTGTCACTGTTAATTGTGGCAATGAGAAATCGGACTGATTACATTTCTTAGGGAGCTCATTATAACTGGCTGTAAAATTTAATACCTCAGCCAGCTTCTGGCCTGCTGTGGAGCTGATGAAAGAACTACAGGCTGCTTGTAATTTCCTTCGGATGGTAGTTGGCTAGACCACTATTTCTTTTTGCAAAATGCACACTCTCTTCTGAACTACCCACTTCCTTGCACATTTTTGGGGATGCCAGAGAAGTTTAATCCCAAGAAGATTTTGTCATTTGAAGGACTGGATGAGTCCACCTTGAGCTGCAAGGAAGAAAACTGGGTTTCCTTCCCAGTCTGCAAGGAGGTGTGTGCAGCATTTATGCATGGTAGAGCAAGTGTGGAGACTGTCAACGCTGAGGTTAAGCCCTGTTATTCAGCCCTTTGGAAAGGACAGAGCTGGTTTGTGTTTCCCATCCTTATTTAATGACTAGATGAGTTATTTCTGTCTGGCCTGGAGGGCTACATTTTCTAAGCTCATGTCTCTCTTGTCAGCATCTGAAAAGTTGCCGTTACCTCCAGGCAGATAGCTGACCTGTTTTCTGAAGTGTCTCGCTGGGTCTTAGTGGATCTGGGAGCTTCTTACTGAGTTCCCTCTCTTGCTGCCCCAGTGGTCTACCTTCACTCCCTGCTGTGTCATGGCATCGTATACCGTAAAGTCAGTGTGGTCCAGGGTGATTGAGGAAGGCTGTGGCACACCTGTGGCTCTCAACAGGTATTCGTGCTGTCTTTGGCCCGCCGTTGCAGTTTGGGGTCAGGACTCTTGCTCAGCACTCAAATGAGCTGCTTCGTATGAGACTCGTGTCTGCTTGCACTGCTGAAGCCACGCGCTTCCAAATGATAAGCTGGGGGCGATTCTTGTGAGTGCAAGGATGCTTGGTGCTGAGAAGGGGAGAGCTGTGAGGAGATGTTGGTGTTTCCCTTTCCAGCAGTGCCATGCCATATCCTTCCCTAAACAGAGGCCCGACTTTCCTGTCCATCAGTCACATACCCCATGTTATGTGGCAAGAAAACCATTTGCCTGTTTTTAATGACCAGTGGTGTTCATCAGGGTACACTACACATGCAGATAAAAGCCTTAGGAAACCAACTTACATGAAGACATGATATTTCCAAGAGGATATGTCCTTACTTTCTGAAAGAAAAGAATACTGTCACTCTTCTTTGTATTGGGCAGGACACATCTGCAGACATTTCAGAGCTGCCGATCCGTAGCTCTGTTGTTTTCACCCAAAATGTGTTAGTATGTGTCCCTGTTGGTGATCTGCTTCACATGAATTTTCTCTGATTTACATTTTCTGGGCTTATAAAGGACCATGAAGATTAATAGATTTTGCTTTAGAACAAGACGTTCAGTAGCCTGTAGGTTTATAATGATAGCTGTGTCTTCAGAAATTTGTTGATTTGGGTTTGTGAGAATTACATGTAAACATCCTGGGCCAGGTATGCCTCCTTTGATTAGTTCAAATAAAGCCAGCTGGAGTGATTGATGGAGGAATGTGAACAAGAGGGTGGTAGCACAGTTGGAGCAGATGGAGGGTTTTTTCCAACCTATGATTTTTGTGATTCTTTGATTACCTTACGGTCAGCAAATTAACCAGACTCAGAAGTTTTGTTGTCGTTGTTGTTTGTTTAGTTTGTTTTGCTTTGTTTTGTTTCTGATTAGGACTTGGAAAAACACGTATAACTCCAGAGGAATTGAGGGTCAGAAGCCATCAGCCGTAGCATGATACAAGCTCTCATTTCGGACGACAAAAATAGACTTTTCCTTTACTAACCTTCCGATACAAATAGAGTATGTGCTGCTGCAGAGCTGTTTGTGCTCTCTCTTGTTGCTCACAGCTCTTCAAAATAACAACAGATCGAAATGTTTGTGCAGAACCGTGCAGACACAGCTCCAAGGTGGGGTAGCCTCTTTCAGACACGGGCTCCAAAAGGCACTTAGGAGATTTATTTCTTGTTTCTGTATGTGTTTTTCTGTTTCTGCAGGGACAACAATGGTTGGTTTGGTAAATGCCGTCATAGCAGAGAGGTGCCAATTAGATCTGGGAGAACCCAGCACCGAAACCTACCTCCAAAACATCTCTGTCAAGTGTTTTAGAGGGGGAGGCAGGTTGCTTTCTCAGCAGCAGGAAATTCTGGGGGAATGACAGAACTGGCAATGCATTTTTGTACTCTTTGTGTACAACAGCTTCTCTGAAGGACTTGAAGGCTGATGCGTTTACCTTCTTGATTTCCTGGAATAAACAGAGCCTGGAGTTTGTGCTAATTTGGGTGCCAGGCAGAGGATTAGCCAAATGAATCACGGGGATGTGCAACTTTGCATGAATCATATTTGCTGACACAGAGATCAGGGGCTTATATCAGGCAGTTCTGCTAAAGGCAAACTATGCAACCCCCTGGTCACATTATAGCAGCAAGCTGAACTTGCTTGTGTTCAAAACAAAGCAGGCAACACCAGGGATATGAGATGACAATGGGTGTTATCTTAGTTATGTCAGCCTCAATGCAAACATTTATGCTTTTTGTGGTGTTATCCACTACTGGTCTCAGTTTATAGGCATGCCCTAATTTCTGTGTGCTTTCAACTGGAGTTTGTTTCGTGGGGTGGTGGAGAAGGAAGTCCCATGTCAACACAGATGAAAACGGACCTTCATCACTGGTTGAGTTTTCAGGAATTGAACAGGCACTAGCGTGGTGGGATATGTTGATGGAGAGATGTGATAAACTTGAATTTAATTGCCCTGAGGATAACTGCACTGAAGTTCAAGGGTGTTCCCCTAGACCCCCCTATGGCATGAGATACTTTTGTGCCCACTTGGCTGGGCTTTTCTAGAACCTTGGTAGAAATCAAGTGTGGGCACTTGTGCATCTTCCTTCTAGTGGTAATGGTCTCTGAACTTCTCTCCCTTGTTTCACTCTTCTAAGCTTGTAAACATCTAGAAGAGAGTATTTTGTAATTAGGGAGCAAGGGGAAGGTGTTTTGCCTTGATGTCACCTTGGGGACAGAGGTCTTTGTGGCATGGCAGCTGTTGGAGATGAGCACTGCTGTATAGGTAAAGCAGTGAGGAAGGGAGAGGGGAAGACAGACGGCTTTTCTGGACATGGGACATAAAGCCACTTTTGCAGAACATGGAGGTTTTTATAACTGAGGCTGTTGGGTTTGTATCCATTAGACTAATCATGTCGGCCTAGAGCCTGCAAACATGCTCAGAGGTGAGAATAGCAGAGGCTTTAGTACAGTTGGCCACTGTTGTTCTACGTGTCAATTCTATTGCCTCAAAAAGCAACTTTATTTTTTTCTTTAGCAGTGTATTAGCATTTTCCATCACAGCTTTTTGTTAAAGTCTAGCAGGAAGTCTAAATAAAGCAACGCCTTGCTTCAAGGAAGGTGCACAAATAGTGGAATTTCTTGGACTAATTTAATCCACCAGCATTGAATACTTAACTGTATCTCTGTGTTGGGCAGAATTTTTTTGGCAGGGAGATAGCTTACTTGTTCCTATGACAACAGAGATCATGTCATGGATACTTAGGGAAAAAAAAGCACTCAGCTTCTGCTGCAAGAAAGCCTTTTTGCAATGTGAGCACAAATTTTGTACTGCTTGCTTACAGGAGTTAAGTTGTTTAAAGAAAGCTGAGACGATTCATTTCTCCGTGAATCTGTCTGAAGCATGATAAAATATTTGTTTACAAATTTTGCCGAGACCTGCTGATTTCACATGTGTATCAAGCAAGAGGTATCTGTTCTTTTTCACATCTGCTCTGGTTCCCCAGGCAGGAGAAAAACCTCACAGAGATCTGTAGGCTTTATTCTTTCTTCCCATTGTTATTTGTGTAGAAGTCAACTAATTAAGGTAAAATATACATTGCTGTATCTTGATTGTATTCCTGCATTACTTATTCTCCTGATTCTTAAACCAGCTTTCAGTATTTGAGCTGACAAATTGAAGGAGTGATGGGTTTGCTGAACAAGCAGATTGCACAAAAAAAATGCCCTTAAATTAAAAACTCCATATTGCTAACAAAGCCAGTAAAAGCTACTGCATCTGATAGTGTTTTAGTAGACTTAATGTGTACTCTTTAAAGGAAATGGGAAAAATAAAGTCAGATTCCAAGGTAGTTGGACAGAAAGCTTGTTTTATTCTTACTAATGGGCTTTAATTGTTCCCCAGCTCTGCACCATGCACACAAATTTCTAACATCTCATTACACATTTGCTCTCTGTGTGCTCTGCCCTCTTTCGGGCTGGGAGAAGAGACACAGAGCATGTTTCACCTGCTGAGCTAACAGGAAAAAATGACGAGGGCAGGACGTGGGAAGAGAATACAGATTAAATACAGCTGGAGACAGCTACATCTTGGTGCAGTAGCACCAGTGGGAAGTGGTGGGGTTGCTGAAAGGTGATGGGGCTGCGATTTTATTTGTCTGAGCAGCGTCTGGTTGAATGAGACCTAGGTTCAAGATTGCAGCGTTTAGATGTGCGTGTTGTGCTGCCTCAAAGTCACAAGAGGCTCAAAGGTATTCAGATGTATGTGAGGAGTAACCTGTGGCTAAATGGCTTTGATTTTAGGAAGAATCTTAAAAACAACAATAAAAAGGCACAAAAGATGTCTGTTGCAGGGTCCAAGAATGTTGTAAGGCCCAATAGCTGGGAAAGGTGACAAATTGTGACTTCTGGGTTGATCTGCATCATGCCCCGGCTTTAACAAGTTACTTAGCACCCTGCTCAGCTGCTTAAGCTGATGGTTGGTAAGCTGATGGTTGCAATTTGCATAAAAGGTATGGAAATAGTGTCAGTTACTGAGCGCTCTCCATGGCCTATATCAGGCACAACGTCCTATATAATCTCATCACCTCATTTCAGGGAGAGAGCTAAGTAGGGAGGAAAGCTGATTTCTGAAACTGCTCAGTTGTTTTCAAAATTAAGACTTTAAAATGTATATTAGCTATCAGTTTGACTGGTGATTTCTTCCATCAGAGGAAATGTTTCTTTCCAACTCCCTTCAGGCTTAAATTGAGCTAGTAAGACATGCACCAGGAATGAGTCCAGCATGTAACGTTGCACCTTAACAACATCTCTTTATCTTGACAAAACTCTTGATTTCTTACTTTGGAAACTCTGGAAATAAAGTGGCAATGTTTGTTGGGGCTTCACACATTGCGTATTTGTTGCACAGCCTCTCCAATTTCCGCTGCTGGGAGTGAAGTGGGGAGCAGTGGGATGCATGCATTCTTGGACTGATTCCATGAGGCTTTGCTCCTGCTTTTAGGGACCAAATGATTTCATGTCACAAGGTATGGTTTAGCATTGCACTGTAATTCAGTGGATCAGGTAACTGATTATATATTTTATGTCCCTTTAGCTTCAACATCAGTGTCTGTACAAGAAACCATTGGCTGGGCTGTGGCAGAGATCTGCTCTGCCCATCCCAGCAGCTGTTAGGTTGCAACATCAAATTCCTCTGTCACTTGAGCTATGCAGATGCTTTTATCCTTCCTTTTCTTGGCCAGGAGTGGAAGAGAGGAAAACATCAGTGCTCTTTCCCTTCCTTTTGGTCTCTGAGCACTTTGTGAAACTTCTGATCCTATGGGCTACAAGCAAGGAATAATTTGCCTGCTTTGCACTTAGCCCTGCAATGGTAGTGCTTTGGGAATAAAATGCAGGGAGGCTGGCTTGGACTTGTTATTGCATGACCAATGAGACTGGGACTTGCACAAGATAGTGGATACTTGGACTGCATTAAAATTCTACTTCAGGTTTTTGGTTTGAGAGTAACCACCATCATTTGTACAGGCTAAGTACCTAAGCAATTCCTTACTCACTTGACTGGAATCAGCTACATTAATTTTTCTGTTTGTAAAATGTGAAACAAGAAGCAAAGATTCCTTTTCTTAAAGGTAACTGACAAAACCAGAGGGAGGAACTAAGCTTGGTCAGGCAGGATGTGAAGCTCTTCTCTGTTATTCAGGTTGCTTGCAGGGGAATTCTTTAGAGAATTCTTTTCTTAGGGAAAGCGTAGAGAAAGCATTGCAATGTGAGACACAGTCAGTGTTTAAATACAGTGCACTGTTCTCCCCAAACCTGCTTAAGAACAGTAGTGCCCCTCACCTGTGCTGTGTTGTAGGCTGTGATACTCATGGTCTTTGGGGAGCTTTTATTATTTCCAGTCTTCACTTGCTGCCATTTGCAGCTCCCTTATGGATTTGATCTTTTCAATGTTCCCAGCTAAACTGCACTCTCTGGAAGTGCATCTCTCTGGAAGTCTGTGGGACCAGGGGATTTTACAGGTCAATTATAGCTGAAATAAAGCCAAGCTGTATTTGTTCACCAACTCTCCAAACCCTTGCAAGTGCCAGCAGAGGAGTTTGTTTTAGCTCTCCTCTTCATCCCCAGTTAATGAGAATGGACAGAAGCAAGCAGAGGGCCAGGCAGGGAAGAGGCAGTGCAGGGTGTGCCTGGTGCGGTGCTGGTGCTTCACTTGCCCCCAGAAGCAATCCCTGTCACATTTTTAGGTGTCTCCATCTGATAGCAGCTGGCTGTCCTTGACTGCTTTAGGAACGAGGCCCACAGCCATGGATACCTTACAGATGGGGCCTTTTCTTTTCCCGCCTTAAAGAAGAGAGCTGCTACTTGAGTCTTACTGCTCGAGTGAACCACAAATACCCCTCGATGTGGTTGCAGCAAGCCAGTCCCAGGGGATGCTTGTTTTGGTGGGGTCCCCCCTTTCCGAGCATGGGGAAGCCTGGAGGTGGCCCAAAGGGACGAAGTCGCTTTGTTTGCAGCGCTCCCAGCACTTTTCAGCTTGGCTTCCTTGTGGCTTTTCCTGCAAACACTGTTTTTTCAGTGAGTTTTAAAATAGCCCATGCTCTGAGGCCTGGGCTCTGCCTGCCTGATGCAAAAGTGCTCCCCTGGGATTGACGTTTTCCTTCCTTGCTTCAAGTACTGTCTAGGAGCAGGATGACGTTCTGCTGCTGAAATGAGGGGCAAAGCATGCATGTTTGGATCTGTCCTATGTTCCTGAGCTGGACTGGAGGAGAAAGCCCTGAGGAGAGGGCATGGGACTGCCTGGGAGCCAGGAGGTCATTCGTAATCCTTTTTCCACCACTGGCCTCTCGCACAGCCTTCAGTAGCCTCCAGCCTCACCCTTATTTATTTCCCTCTGAATACAGGACTTTGCTCTGAGCTAGGTGCTGGAGCAATAATACCAGGGGCAGGGAAAGCACATGCTATTTCTTTCCGCTACAGGTCTCTTCTTTGGCCAGAAAGGATGGTGGGGCCTGAGCGATAAGCCATGTTCTTCCTCTGGAGCTTTTTGAGGATGGGCTCAGTGTTATTTTTAGTGCTCACATATTAAGTTTGCACTTGAAAAGTCTGTCTGGAAGCCTTGAGCCTGTCTACTTGGAGGCCTTTCTTTCTGTCTAATTTGGGCGATGCTGGATACTTGGAGATCTGCCCGGGGATTGAGAGACCTTGTAAAAATTCCTGCTAACAAGCTCCTGTCCCTTAAGCACTTGCTGCACTTGGAGATACTTCTTAACAACTGTGAGGCATCTTTAACAGTTCAGGGGGAACAGATCCTGTAGCTGCTGCTGAGGGTTCTATCGAGTAAAAGCCGTTGTCCAAATCACCTAAAACACTTGATGTTGTTTCTCATGGGTATAACCTCATGAATGTTTTCTTGCCCTCTTTCTCTCATGTATGCAGAAGCAGACTGGAAGTAAGTATAGCATCCTGTGGGCTGGTCTGAGTTTCTTCATTGTCGTCATTGTACCTTGTTAAGCTCTTTATCTCTCTTTAAGTTGCAGGAGTCAGAGTCTGAGAACAAGCTGGATGGAGAGACAGCATCAGACAGCGAGAGCAAGTCTGAATTTGGAGGATCACCCCCAGTGCCAACATCGGATGACACTCCAGAGGTTCTGAACAGAGCTCTCTCCAACCTGTCCTCAAGGTAGCCCTCACTGAGCGTTCTTGCCCTCTGCTGCCAGGGCTCCTGCATCTTCACTGTGGCTTTTCTAGCCCTGGCAGCATGGTGATGGCTGATGGAACCTGAATAAGCAGCTCCCAGTAGTGCTGTGCTCTCCTTCCCCGACATGCAAACAGGAAGGTGTCCCTGAGGCCACAGGAAGCAGAAGGTGATGGCGATGTTAGCGGGGAGAGCAGAGTGCAGCACTCAGGGCTGCTGTATGTGGGAAAGGACCGGGGCAGAGGAGTGCTGTGGGAGGGCAGCCTTGTTGTGTGCTTAGTCTTGAAAGGTGAAAGGAGGCCTCAGTGGAGCAGAAGACGTTGTGTTCAGCTTTAATAGCACTTTCAGTACTCAACCGTGGTGGTTTTTAACTGCTGGTGTGATCTACTTCTGTAGGAATGCATGAGAAAAATGTGCTGATAAGGACAAGATCTGAGAACAAACTGTGAATGGCTTCTGCATGCTACTTTGGGGCAAAAGCCCTTATTCATATCACAGGAGAAGGCATTTCTCCCAGATGTCCTCTGTGGCCAGGGAGAGACTCAAGGCAGGATTTCTTAGAGAGTAGCAAGCTACGACACATCTGGACCCATGTCTCCTCTTGAAAAGAAGTGCAGGGAGAGGTAGTGATTCCTATTTTATTTGAACTAATCATGCAGCTTGTCCAAGGTGTGGGAAACCTGTAGTAGAACAGGGACAAACACTTCTTCCATCCCATTTCAGTGCCCGTGGAGAGGCTCTGTTCCAGACTAATGTTTTCTGTATTAATGACGTTCATAGCAGGGAAGATTGAACTGAACTGTAGCCTTGCAGCTGCTGCAGCAGGGCCTTGGTCAGTGAATCAAGGTCTCCCTTTGCTGCTTTTTGGCAGCATCAAAAAGAAATCTGGGGTTTCCAGGGCTCAGTTTCCTGCTTATGATGCGCAGAGAACAGTGGTGCTGTCCTGCTTCCTTGCTTTGTTTTGTCTTTCTCTAACTTCTTTCCTTCTCTGTGGCCTAGATGGAAGAATTGGTGGGTAAGAGGCATCCTCACTCTGGCAATGATCACCTTCTTCTTCATCATCATCTACTTGGGACCCATGGTCTTAATGATGATAGTAAGTGCTCCAGAGAGATGCCCTTATGCTCACAGCAATAGGGGAGAAGGTTGCTGGGACCACTGATGGGGTTGGCAGCTCACAGACTTTTATTTTGATATTGTATTTTCATTTTTAATGTCCTTGAAGAAGGAGGTACTTAACAAATGTGTGTTATAGCTTGCCGCTCTCTCTTTGTGCAGGTGATGTGTGTCCAGATCAAATGTTTCCATGAGATTATCACTATTGGCTATAATGTGTATCACTCATACGACCTGCCCTGGTTCAGGACGCTCAGCTGGTGAGTAGGGTGACTGCTGCCCTCCCCGTGCTTGTGTGCAGCAGTAATGCTTCACCTCACTGCAGAGAGGCAGCAAGGGGTTCATCTGGCTACCTCCAAACCAGAGACCATGGGATTGCTGTGTGTTGACCGGTGTCATGTGTTAGCGGCTCTTGTAAGAAAAAGCCTCGCTAAATCCTGATACATCAGCTACCTTGAAAGAGCCCAGACTGATAAAGTTTGTCCCGTTGTTTATGAAGTGTGGGCATTGGAATCCCATGATCTGTGCAAGGGACAGTATTGACAGCCGTCACCACTAAGAGACAGATAGTTACTTGGGTGGGTGGAAGTTTGTAAGTGGTTGTGAAGCAGGGGTGAACACTGGGACACAGCTGGGCTGAGCAACTCTGTCTGCCAGAAAAGAGAAGTCTGGGGAGAGGGCAGGAGCAGTGCTTTTAGGATGTATGGGCTGTTTTCTTTTAGGGTGCTTGAGCTCACTCACAGAGGCCTGTTGAGGAGTGCCACCTAAAGGCAGACAGTCCTTGTGCATCAGAAGGCCAAAACCAAACCCAGATAGTATAATCCATTGCAAAGTGGAGCTGAGTGATGTAGCCAGTAGTTGAAATGAAGGTGATGTTTCTAAACTGGAGGAAATAAAGATCTGGCTGTCACTTGCAGGATGTCTGTTTGCAGTGTATCAGAACAATACAAAGACCTTAGGAATCGGCCACTTTCTGTGTTTCTCCAGGAGCTTTTTAGAGTTCCTGCTAATGAGCATCTGCATTCTCCACAGGTACTTCTTGCTCTGTGTTAACTACTTTTTCTATGGTGAGACTGTGACAGATTATTTCTTCACCCTGGTTCAGAGGGAGGAGCCCCTGCGAATTCTCAGCAAATACCACCGCTTCATTTCTTTTGCCCTGTACTTAACAGGTAGAGACCATGTTTTCTGGTGGTTAAACTTGTCTGGACTGGGAGGAAAAAATCTCCTTGAACTACTCTTGTCTCGTATTGTATCCAATGCAGTATCTATAGCAAATTATCTCTGCTCTTCAGTGATGTTGTAAATTGGCTGCGTGGTGACAAATCTCTTGCATGAGGCTCTGTAGAAGTATACTGCCAAAACTGTATGGGACAGTTAGGCTTGATGTTTACTTGTCTAAGAATAATTTGAAGGCAACAATATTTTGTGACTTCCAGATAATAGTGCTTTATTAAAAAAAAAAAAAAAAAAAAACAACCAAACAAAAAAACTAAGGAGCTGTGCACTATGCTCTCTTAAGAGGGAAAAAAAAAAAGTATTTCTTACTTTTGAAGAAACATCCCCCTCATTCACTTTTCTTCTGTCTCTCACCAGGTTTCTGCATGTTTGTCTTGAGCCTGGTTAAGAAACATTATCGCCTCCAATTCTATATGGTAAGATTAAATACAGGGACTGGCTGCCCCCATTTGGAGGCAGAAGAATCAATAACGTAGGCTGCTTGAAAATGTTATATAGATAAATATGTTCCACTAGATGCTTCTGTGCTGGCTGTGCATTGTAACACTGCCTTGAGGAAGAGTTACTGTGAGCGAACTGTTTAGGGAGATGTCCTGACTGAATTTCCTTGTAGTCATGCATTCTTTTCTCTCTGCGCTGGTGGATGCTCTTAAGAAACTTTCTGCAAGCTGACATGACTGCACAAGGCTATATGACTCTTGTACTGAGGGTAGGTTGCCATGAGGGTGTATTGGCTATGTTTCCCTTTTCTCAAACATCAGTAAGATGTTGCTCATATTTAATCATCAACATGGTTAGTTTTGCTTTTCAGTATAATCAGCACACAGGGATACAGCTTGGATATCCATTGGCCTTTTGTTCTCAATTAGTCAGAAGGCTGAGTGAGATATATGAGAGAGGGGTGGGCTAAAGAACACTTGGTCTGGCAGAAGCCTGCCCAGTGAAGGTCAGCTCTGGGCTTGAACTGAAGAACATGCCTGTAAATTACTAGGGATAACTGTTCCCTGCTCATCATGCCTCTTCATGTTTGTTACGGTGAAGGTGCATGCTAGAAATGCACATGTGCATGAGCCATTCTCTGTCTGAGAGATAGCTAACAGCATCAGATTTGTGCCAGTGACGTGTGTGAGCAGGGTCTTTAGGCAGGCTGGACTGCATGCTGTCTTCTCTTCCAGTTTGGATGGACCCATGTGACGTTGCTAATTGTTGTTACCCAGTCGCACCTCATCATTCACAACCTGTTTGAAGGAATGATATGGTGAGTTGCCATGTGTTCTGAGTTGCTTTGATTTCTGCAGCCTTATATAGGTTATCTTAGAATCGTAGGATGGTGTGGGTTGCACGGAACCCTTAGAGATCATCTTTTCCAACCCCCTGCCGTGGGCAGGGGCTTCTTTCACTAGATCAGGTTGCGCAAAGCTCTGTCCAAACCAACTTCGAGCACTTCCAGTGATGAGGAATCCACACATTCTCTAGGTAACCTGTTCCAGTGTCTCACCACCCTCATTGTAAAAATATTCCTTCATGATATCCAATCTAAATCTGTCCCTTTTCAGTTTAAAACTATTGGCCCTTGTTGTTTCACTGCAGACCATGATAAAAAGTCTTTCCTCATCTTTCTTATATAAGCCCCTTTATATACTGAAAGGCCATCATAAGGTCTTCCTGGAGTTTTCTTACCATGTTCTGAGTTAAAACTTTTTTTTTTTTTTTTTAAACAAGTGGCTAAAGAGAGAAAGTGCTTCCTATGAGGGACTAACCTGTTCAGAATAAAAAAGCAAAAGACTGAATGATGCCTCAGCAACTTAGGACTTGCTTTGTGCTATTTGCTAGTATAGAGAGCAGTAGAGAGGCATCTGAATATTGCTCCAGGATGCAGGGACATTTCATGCAGTGCTAGGCCTTTGTAGATGCCTTCTCTGTCCACCCATGTCTATCAAATGAACAGGATTCTGCTCAGCACTTGATTTGGGGTAGAGCTGCCAGCATAACGTTAAAAGCGGTGCTGTGAAAGAAAGGAAATTGCAGTGCGGCACCTTCACCAGCTTACTACAGTTGCAATACGGAGGGGAAGCCCTTTTCATGGTAGGGCTGTCAGGCTCCATCTTCTCCAAACCAGCAATGCCAGGAACTAATTTTAACTGCTTTAAGATTGCATGTTTCCGTGTGCACCTCAGCTGTCCCAGAGTGCTTTGTGAGCAGCCTGCTTCCAGCGAAAATGCAGCCCCTCTGGGAGGAAAGGAGGTGGCTATCTAACAGCATGTCGTGTGACAGAAGAAGATACGCTTAATTAAAACAGGCCATTCTGGGTGCACAACGTGCTCTTTAGTCCAGAACACTGGAGTAACCCCCCAGATTGCTCTGAGAGCTTTTCTAGAGTCATTTTCTACCATGCGAGATTGCATTGGATAGGGAGGTGTTGATATGATGGCCCTGCAAAACATCTTTCAAAACAACTACCCATTTAGTTAAGCTGGAATTGTCTGATTTTGGTACTTGCCAACAGTTTGATTCTTCGCCCATCTAGGTTCATTGTCCCAATTTCCTGTGTGATCTGCAATGACATCATGGCATACATGTTTGGGTTCTTCTTTGGCCGCACCCCGCTCATCAAGGTTTGTAATTCTATATTGGACAAAAGATGGCATTTTGGCTTCTTTAGGTCTTAGTCCTGTGTTCTGATCTCCATTGGTGTGACTTATTATGGGTCTGAAGCAAGTCTCCAAATCAGACTTGGTGCATGCCCCAGTCTTTGAGGTTGTGAAGTGGAGTGAACCATTTCAGTCCAAGATGTTAGTGTCAGGTTCTGACCAAACTCTGGTTGTTGGCACCAATTTATATTTACCTCAGCAATTCACAAGCAAGGAAGGACTGCACAGGTGTGTGGCAGTGACCATAAATGCACAGTTGGTAATTATCCCCTTCTTTCTCTCCCTCTGGCAGCTCTCCCCAAAGAAGACCTGGGAGGGTTTTATTGGAGGTTTTTTTGCCACTGTTTTGTTTGGATTGCTGGTAAGTAGCAATCATGGTGCTTATTTTTTTGGTCTTTTCCCTATGTAAGTTGACATGGTTTTGGCTAAAAAATGCACCCAAGCTTTAAGCTCTTCTGGCTCTTCTCAGAAACTGTTTTCCTTACTGACCAGGATTTGAACTGGTGGATGTTTGTATTATGTGCTGTATGCAGATTCTGCAGATGGAGCAGGGTATTGGAGGAAGTTTTTAGTCCCTGTTAGACCCTGTGACGTTTTCAGTAGAATAATTGTGCTTGAAACATTCTCTCTTGTCTCTTGAAAGGGAGAGACTGTAATATTTCCACAGATGCTGTACATGGGTAGCCAAAACATCTGGGGCTGCTGTTGGATGAATTCTGTGCATCATTTCAAAGGCTGTGTGGGGAAATCAGTGCTCTTTGAGTATTCTTACCTGTTTCTGTGATAATCTGTGTGTCTAGTTGTGTTCGTCCACTCATCCAAATAGTGCAGCCTATCTCAGCCTGTTTGTCCAGGGCTCTGATCACTGCTTGCTGAACACATGCACTTACTAAACAACAATCCTCACTCTGCCTTTAGCCAATTGCTGCTTATCAGGAAAGTAATCTTCTTAATGAAGCTGGGAGTGTGGCTCTGTCCTCACTGTGTCTCCTTGAGTGGCCTTTTCCCTTGGTTGCACCTCTGCGTCATTGCTCAGGAAAATATTAATCTTGCTTTCTCTTACTGCACCTTTTTTTCTCTCTCCTTCAAGCTGTCCTATGTGATGTCCGGGTACCGGTGCTTCACCTGCCCCGTGGAGTTCAACAACGACACCAACAGCTTTACAGTGGACTGTGAGCCATCAGAGCTGTTCCAGTTACAGGAGTACAACATCCCCTTGGTGCTGCAGTCTGTGGTGGGCTGGGTAGGACTCTGTCTTCTGATTGAGGTCTTATTTATTGGGATAGGAACATCAGGAAAATAGACCAGGACTTTATTTTGCTGGTATTCAAAGGAACATGACAAGGGATGATGGTACATCCAGAAGAAGGGTGAATTCAATGATGACCTATGTGGGTTTAAGACCCAAAGCAATTGTCCCAAGTCTGGTGGGACATGAACCCATTTGAAAACTAGCTGTTCTAAAGCCTGGTTAGGACAGAAAGAAGGGCAGGAAGTGAGCAGTACTGTTCTTGATGGAAATCCTTCTCTGATGTGTTTTTTTTTTTCCTGCAGAAGACAGTCCGGATGTATCCATTCCAAATCCACAGTATTGCACTGTCTACTTTCGCCTCCCTTATTGGGCCATTTGGAGGCTTCTTTGCAAGTGGATTTAAGAGGGCCTTCAAAATTAAGGTGAGGACACCCAGGTTCTGCAAGGTCATTTACATTTTTAAAGTTAAAAAGTGGTTGCTGCCACTCTAAGCAGTCTGTGCTCCAAGGAGCGAGTGGCAGGTTGGGAACTTTGGGAAGGAAGAGAATGTCACAAATGAGTCGGGGGGGGCATGATACAATTCATTTTAACTGTTTGGGTGTGGGGAGAGAGCTGAAAATTTCAGCTGTGATATTCTAAACACTGCTTTGGTGCAGAACGTGATGTAGAGGAACAAAAACCCAGTCAGGATATTTTGCAATCTGAGCCTTCCCTTGATGTCTTGCAGTCTGGTTTTCATATAAACAGTCTTTGTGCAGCTAAGATGACTTGAAAGGCAGGACAGAGTTGCGAGAGATAAACATTAGCCTTCCTTGACCTTTGAGTGGTAGATGAGTTAAGGCTTTATGTCCCTCAGGCGCTTGTGGCCTTCATAAAGGAGAAACTTTTAAAAACCAAGGAGAGGTCAAGTAGAATTTCTAACTTTTGCCTTCTGGGAGAAATTATAGCAAGGATGTGAGTGTAGTGCCTGGATGTTCGTAATCAAGTACAGTTAACGAGCATTTGAAACTTCAGTGTAATCCTTTCTGTTTTGTTTAGGATTTCGCCAACACAATCCCAGGGCATGGAGGTATCATGGATCGCTTTGACTGTCAGTACCTGATGGCTACCTTTGTTAATGTGTACATCGCAAGCTTTATCAGGTATCAGTTGTTTCCCAGTGAAGTTTGGGGGCTCTGTCAAGTTCAAATGACATACAGGCTTGCAATACAAGACTGTTGGTATCCCCATGAGATTAACATTCAGAAATACAAGACAGAGGGGGACTCGGGGGTTGAACAAGGGAAGCATGTCTCAGAAGGATCATGCAGAGTTGGGAACACAACCTGTTTTCCTAAGGTCTGTTGTTTCAGTCCTCTCCTCCATGTCCCTTCTGCATACCTGTGAATCTTGAACAAGGTTTCCCCTGAACTGATCAAGCAGAAAAATCTTAATTCTGTTGCGGTGTGCAAATGTTCTGTAACCAAACACAGAAGAAAGCCCATAGATGCACAGAGATGTACTGGAGGAGCTGAGGAGCTGAATTTATGTGGCTGCTTGGCTTTTTGCATCTGTTAATAGGGGAAAAATCCACAGCCCTCTTGAAACAGATTTGATTTGTTTGGTTACAGTTCAGCATCATATGCCTTTTGAATCCATTTCCACATTTCTGAAATAGAGTTAAGCTCCCTGGGTAGAACCACTGAGGTAATGGGCAACATATTATTTCAAGCGTGTTTTTTTGATGAAATTGCATTTGGGTTCCCAGAGCACTGAGACTTAGCAGTACAACTCACTGGTAACAATTGGTTTTGTGTTTCAGAGGTCCTAACCCCAGCAAACTGATCCAGCAGTTCTTAACCTTGCGGCCAGACCAGCAGCTCCACATCTTCAACACGCTAAAAGCACACCTTGTTGACAAGGGTATGTTAGGTAGTTTGGAGGATGCATAGACAGCCACGTGATTGGAATGGGACTGAAAACGGACAAGCCTCCTCAAGGAAATTCCTGGCTTGCCTGATATAAGACAATAACAAGGCCTCATTTCACTGTAACTTTTCTTCCTTTCTTGGTAAATGTTTGCATTTGTGTTTGTTATTTTTTTATATAATATATTTATATAGCTTTGGTTCAAATGAGCAAATCTGAGTTTGTAGCTGGAAAGGAATTAAGACTTGGAATGAGTTGGGTGAAGTAAGAGGGTACAACTGTCCTCATGGTCTGTTCTTAAACTTCGATGCATGTGGGCAGAAAGTTCAATTTCCTGTGGATGCAGGGAATACATAAAACATTTCCCGTACAATTGCCTCTGCGCATGGAAGTCAGCAGGGAAGGTGAAGTTGTGCAGCTTCCCTGGCTTTTGTGCCAGGTTGCATTCATAATGGCAGCTCTGGAGACCATCATTTTGCCTGGCGGTAACTGTGACCGCAATGTTCATTTTCCCAGAAATCCACATACCCGCCTGTGTGCAGACTCCTTGGAGTCTCTGCATGGCAAGCACAAGGCTCAGTTAATTAGAAGAGAACTTTGTACTAATCTAGCTATGTTTCCTCTGCCCAGCCAGGCATGTGTATCTATTTTCACTTGCTGTTTCTGCAAGTGCCTCCCACATTCTCCTCTTATGGCTGGTATTTTGACAAAGAAGATCTTTTTTAACCTATTAAATTGGAAATAAACCAGGGACAAGGAATTAAGTAGCTGGTAGTTGCTCATAGGAATGTGGGAGGTTCAGATTGCTTCAAAACTGAATTGAGTAAATAGGTTTTAGAGAACATTGAAGTTTCATTGAGTAAATCCTGCCAAGTAAGAACAAGCTTTTAAATAACCTGGTTCCTTTTTCCTCTGTTAAATAACCTTTAAGAAACATTGATGTTTGCAAATCCCACACTTGGATATTTTACCTGATTTGGAGAGCAGTTTCCAACTTGGTGTTGTTTCTGAAGTTTGCAGGTTGGGGCTCCAGCACCCTGCTGGTGCTGTCAGCTGGGTATTTCATTTTTCTTTCAGGGATCATGTCTATCACCCGTTCATTACTTGAGTTCTGGATGTTGTGCTGCTGAGTTTTATCACGGTCTGTGTTGCATTTCAGTCTGGGTTCATTCACCTGCAGGCTTCTGTCCTGCTTTGCTTACTAAATCTTGTCAAAAATAGGTTGCACTTAATAGTTAGAGGTTTTATCTAAGTACCTAAGTACTTTCCTTTATTTTGTCATACTTTTATATTATTTAAAAATGAGAGCCCTAGAGATTGTAAAACTTTTTTTTTTTTTGTGATTAGATCGTGAAAATATCTTCAGTTTATACTAGACCTTATGCAATGTTCCCGTGTACAAGGTGACTCTGATTTTACTTCTTTCCATAGTTTGTGCACGAGAGAGAGAAACTTTACCTTATTTTAACCTGGGGAACGAGTGACAGGGAAAGATAATACAGAAGTACATTGCTGTTGTCAAACAGTTGCTGATATAAACCTTATACACCAACACCACCCCACATATGGAGACATGTACATGCTGCAAACTAGCTAAGCATCGATGGAAAATAAAAAACCTGAAAATATTTCATGGTTCATACTCTGTATTCTGATTCTGCTGTTGCTTTCATTTACCCTAAAAGAGTGGACAGGAGAGCACATGTGTGCATGTGTAACTACATGAATAGATACCAACATCTCTCTTACATTTCTATACAACTCTTTGTGTCATAAGTTCTGCTTCATCTCCCTAAACAGGAGTTGTGGGGTGGAAGTGTGTGCCCGTTGCACTGCAAATACAGGTATTGATCAAGAGCATGCATTGTGGAGAAGAAGGAACTGTTTCCACAAAGTATTTTCAGCGTGGTGCTGAAGAGAGAGGCTTCTGAGAGAGGCCAGAACCACTAAGATGGAGCCAATTCAGGATTGTATTTGGTTAACACCAACTGTGTAGAGGCTTTCCTAAACTAGTTGTGGAGCCTGATTTTTTCCAGCTAGAATCAGGAAGGGATTTATTTTGTGTTGACTTAGAGGATATTGGTCCAACCTCGCTGGAGGGGAGAATTAAGGTGTTTCCATCTTGCATCACCCCAGAGAAAATGTTTGGACTGCATTTTACAATGGTTTGTCCAAGTCTAACTAGGCAAAGGGAGGACACTTGAAGCAGTACCTGAACTGGGAATAGATGTGGAAGCGACCGGGTTTTGTGTAGACCCTGAAAAGCAGCTTTCCCTGTCGTCAAACAAGCTGGTGCTTTTCTGGATTCTCCCTGCCTGATGTCAACATCTGCCAAAATCCCTTGTACTGCCCTGTTGGTTCCTAAGTCAGTCATCAGAAGAAGCTACAGTGTTGATAAATATTACAAAAGTGTAATGCTCTTTATAACAATGCATTTTTCACGTGGGTCTCTAGCCTCCTGCTCATCTTGCTTTGAACCTTTTGGACTTCTTTAGTTGTAATTAGTGGGGCAAAAGCCCGAAACCTTTGTGCATGCTTTTGATTTGAGTAGCATTTGGGTCTTTTTTAACGGTGCAATACTGGATGTAGACACTGGAGGGCAAAGCAGCTGCATTAATGGCTTCATAGTTCTGAGAGAGAAGCTGCAGCAGTGTGGGTGGTTTCCTGCGCAGCTCGATTCTATTAATATTACTTCCTCCCCAGCAGTGCAGTGGACAGCTGGTCTTCCAAACCTGTTTTGATGCTGAAGGCTAAAGATACGTGGAAAGGGTTTGGCATCCTACACTGAAGTTTATTAAACTGAATGGAAACAGTGCATCTGTTTGGGAAATGGAGGAAGAAGGGAGGGAGATGAGGGATGATAAGATCATCTGCAAGCTGTATAGCTGGTCTTGCTGAAAAATACTGGTGAGCACCATGGCATGTCCTCTGTCATGCTGAGACTACGGCTGGTAAACCCATTTGACTTCTGCACCACTTCTGAGAGTGTATGTAGTGGCACTGGTCAGCTCTTAGTGACAGCATGCTGCCTGCGAGAGCGTTCGGTGGGTTTTCCCCATCACCACAGCCTGGGATTGGCTTTAGTTTGCTGTAAATATTTCAAGTTATATCTAGAAAGTTAGAGGAAATGAAAAACTACTGTTACTGGCTCTGGCTGTTCCTAAAGGAGGTATTAGCTGTGATGCCAAATGTGTGTACAGGGATGTGCAGCAAGACACATTGCAGCTCTTCGCATTGCATTAAGCCTGGCAGGACTGTGGCCATGCTGCAGCTCTTGCAAGAATGTAGCTTCGGAGGGAAGCTGATGTAGCTAGTGCTCCTGGAGAGGCCACGCAGGCACCAGGGGTGTCTAACTAAAGCAGTGCAGGGATGTTCATGTAATGTTTCTCCAGCTGCAGGGCTTGAGCTTGGCATTACACAGTAGTTTTGCTCACAGGGGACTCCACAGCTGGAAGTGTTCATCATGCTTTTGCTCAGCAAGAAGGAAATAACTGGGAAAGTAAACCAGTGGGGGATACTGCATTGACTGGTGTGGGTGCTTGGGTCAGGAGAAAGAGAAAAGTGGGGTTTTGTCTGATGTCAAGCCTACGAAGGTAGAAGTGCTGCATTGGGAGGGGACAGGTGGTTTGAAAACCACCTCCTCACAATCAGTCACTGCTTTTCCAGTTGGAGCAGACAGAGATGGATGTGAGTGTATTTAATAAGCAAAGAGCTGGCACATGGTGGAAAGGTGCTTTTGCATAGTGTAACAAGCTGGCTGTCGCAGTGAGATAACTAAACGTTCCTGGTGTTTGCTGGTGGGCGAAGGTCATTTAGTGAAATGGGCTGGATGCTGGTCTGCTCACAGCTTGAGTGTGTAGTTGAGCACTTGGCTTACTCTGATGGGAATTTGCTTCTTTGAGTTTGTTTGTAGCCCAAATTTGTTTATAGATCAGTTGCATCATCAGGCTGGGGCCTGCAGTGCTCACTGAAACATTAAAACCTCGTTGCTGGGTATGGTGACGTGTCCTATACCCATCACTGCATTATTCAGATATTCTTTGTGGTGATGGGCTCAGGAGTCTGCTGACGCTGATCTGAGGGGGCAGCCCGTGCGGCTCGTGAAGCCAAAAATCCCACAGCATCAGTCAACACTTAGCACCAGATTGGGAAATGCCAGTATCTTAGACTTTAAGGCATCTCCTGTTCCTGATGCATGCAGCATGTCCCCCTGAGCACGACTGGTGGGATCCAGGCATGCGTCCAGGCTTTGGTCTCTTCCTTCCCCACCTCCTCTGACTGGCTTGGTGCTATAGGAGGAGGGCAAAGCTGTGTGGAAACCATCACTGTGGCTCATCCAGACCTTCCTGGGGACAGGCAAGTACTGCAGAAAGCATCGCGTGACAGTTCCTGTGGTTCCTGACCTCTGTAATCAGCCCCTGAGCTGCATTTTGTACTACTGTAATTTTTGCGTGCTCCTGTTCCCCAGACCTGATGTGTTTCTACCATCTGCTTCTTTCTCTGTGCATTGTTCTTTTGAGTAATGTTTTAGCTACACATGTAGAACTGCCTTTCTTTGACCGAATGTCCGAATGTGATATATTGTATATTTTAAAGTATTTACCCTATTTATATACCATATGTTACTGTTAAATAAATATAAGTTCCACTATCCGTAGTGGAGTTTTATTCAGTGCTGTTGTCAAGTTGGGGAGATTCTGGAAACCTCCTTTCCATGCTCTGCAAAACCAGCTCAGCCTGTTTTGAACAATAATCTTTGTATTCCTTCATTTGTTGCACCATAGTTTGCCTTCCTCGGAAGCCTTCCTGAGAGCAGACCTGGTGGCTGCAAACATGTGCATGGATGTTGTAGATGGATGGAGCACGCAGATAGCGACCGTCTGTGTCCTGCACGAGGGACAAGTGGCTGGGTTTCCAGCGTGGTTTGGAGTGGAATCAGCAATTAGATCACACACACCTGCCCTGCCAGACCAGACCTTTTGCCCTAAAGTTTTTGCTGGGAATATGAAAACCTGTTGTAAATTTGGTTAGCATAAATTACTGCTTCATTTCAGCCATTTTTCCTGGCTTGCTTGGGTTAGGAGGACAGAATCCTTCTGTTTACCCAGCAAAATGTATTATTTTTAGCTCTCATGTTATTTTGACTGTTTGACTTATCAACTAAGCTAAACCAAGCAATCAGCAGACTTCTATTTGCTTCCTGTCACGCTGTCTGGGTATTTTGAGACAAGTTTATCCTCCAAGAAAACCAAAATATATCTTCCCTTACATCAAACTTGCAAAATTGACTCTAAGGACCCAAATCTTGTGCTGCAATACATCTTCCCTGGAGGAATTGGCTGGTTAAAAAGAAAATTGCTGAGCAGCACCATGCAATGTTCAGCAGCCCTCTGAAACAACTACACGTTGTTACTGAGAGGTCTTGAAGGATGCCTCAGTATCAAGTCTTTTGGAAAACAGACTAAGAAATCATTCTCTTCTTGCATATTACCAAAATGCAACTGAATAGATAGCTGTGTAATTCAAGACATCACCTCTAATCCCCTGTGTGCATGTAGTGGCTAGATAGGGAATGGAGAGCTATATTAAAACATGTTTTCTTGACTTCTGCAGCAGTTTTGCCTTATTCTTCTGCCACTGAATGAGTTTTCTTGCTGCAACGTGGGTTTTCCTGGGCTGGCTGGCAGGGCAGAGCGCATGCCCACGCTTTGCAGTGAGTCAGCCATGTCATCTGACAGCCTCTGTGGCCAGCGTCATCGCTGCCTGCGTTTCAGCTGCTCAGCTGAAGATCCCCTTTGTTTCATCCTATGCCAATTTCATTGAATCAAGCATCCAAAAGAGCAAAATCCCGGCATCAATCCTGGTGCTAGCACTGTGCTCTATACCCACCAGGGCAGAAAGCCTCAAACCGAGGCTGCCTTCGCCACGAGCAGGTCTGTTACAGCCATGCAACCCTCCATCCAGATGTGTTTTCCAGGAGATCCTGATAGAAGGATGTAAAACAAAATAACAACGTAGGTTGAGATTTGCCCTAAGTTCTCCAGGAGCATTCATCCCAGGAATAGGCTGCCTGATGTGGTTTCTAAAGAAAAAACAAGTCCTGTAGATGTGCATTCATTCCCAAACCCAGAAGCATAGTCCTGGTACATGATGGGACCAAGCGGGTAGCAGCTGGGATGGCTCTGCGGGTGCTGGAGTGCTGCGGGGTGCTGCAGGGGGCTGAGCTGCTGCCGTGTAGGCACATGGCATTGGTCTGAGTTGTACAGTTTGGGGCTCAAACACTTGCTGTTTACTTTCTGGAGGAGAGGAAGGTGCAGCATGACATCCTGTTCACACGGGCAGGTGGGGAAAGGCGGCTGGGTGTGAGCTGCTGCTGGGTTTTTGTAAAAAAAAAAAAATAATAATAAAAAAAAAAATGCATGACTCCCTAAATTGTTTCCTGCTGATACTATGAAGAGGAGGAAAAATTATTCTAAATTCAGGGCCATCTGCTCAAAGTACGGCAGAAAAAGGGTTAATGGAGGCAGCTTGATCCGAAGCAGACTATCAGGGTTAATCTAGTTCAGGCTCGGCATGTGCCGAGCTTCTCGTTGTGATAGCGCTGCCTTCTGTGCTTTCAGCAGTGGAAGACGTGAGCTGGGGCTCGCTGAGCTGGATCCGGCTGCCGCTCACAGCTGCAAATTCATCTCTTCAGCTGCAATTAACCCAAACTAGCCCAATCTGGCTGTGAAATCGGGCAGTGGGTGCCGGCTCCAGCTCCTTCCTTGAGAGGCACAGCCTGAATTTACACCACGGCAGTAACAAAATAAACGCTGCCGTTGCAAGGAGCTTGGTGCATCCTGGGCGTGACGGCAGGGCTGCGACTCAGAACAGGAACCGGCGGCTGCATCCTCTTTCACCCTCGGCTCCCCAGGCCACCGGTTCTGCTTCTACTTGGAGCAACTTCCCTTTCTGCAGGGCCCAGGCTTTCCCCATGGGGGGGTGGGAGATGGAGGCTGGAGCCCCCTTAGCCCTTTGGGGCATATTGCCCTGTCCTGCAGCCACCCTAGATGCTTTTTTGCTCCATTCGAGTGTTGGTGAACGCAACAGCCCTTCCTTGTGTTTGTCCTGCATCTCACTCACATTGCATTGCAGGCAGCTTTGTGGACATGCAGCTGTTTGTCTCCTGGAAATGCAGCTTTAAATGGCATGACGCAGGATGCAATATGCCTGCTGCTGTGAGTGTGGTCTGTGTCCACGTCCCCTGACTCTTGTTGGGCAGCTGAGCTGCACTTCTGCTTGTACCCACAGCCTTTCCTCCAACAGCAGCCCCGTTTCACCCCGTTTTGACTGTGCCACTGTTGCAAAAACCCTAAACCACTTTTGGGGACCATTCAACAAGCAAAAAGATACCCATGTCTCCTGGACTCCGCACTCGTGGATGTGTTTGGACACTCGGGGATGCTGTCCTGTAGTGTTTGGCCGTGGCAGCTTCACTTTGCAAAACATTTCCTGAAACCCCACGCTGGGCCATGCCCTTCGGCAAGTGCTTTTCTAGTGCGCCCACAGTGCCGAGGACACGCACTTCCTCAAATGCAATGAGCAGTGTGCCGAGAGCGGCCCCAGCCTTTTGGTGCAGGCTGGGGCCACATTGCTGCATCCCCACGCAAAGCGGGGGAGCAAAAAGTGGAGCAAAAAAGGCGCTGTTGCCTCCGCGGTGTTGGGGAAGCAAGACAAGAGCTTTACAGGAGAGCAGAGCAGGAAAGGACTTTTATGGGGTTGCTCGCAGCCGCTCACAGATGAGGGAGGAGGAAGTACGTTGGCAAATCAACCCTCGCCGAGCTTTTGCTCTTCGTGGGGGGAATCGCACCCTGGGCGCAAGATCCCTGTGGGGCTACCCAAGCTCCACTTCAGCCCATCTCCTAAGTGTGCCCCTTCGAAAAACAAAAATAAGCTCTTTCTGATCCAAAATGTCCCTCAAGCTGCCGCGGAACTGGGATTTCAACCTGAAAATGGATGCTGCGAAAATAGGTACTGTGACTGCTTCTTTATGTCCTTCTGTTCCTGCTTCAGCCTTTCAGAGCTGGTTTCCGCAGGGTGCCCATGGCTGAGCCCAGCAGTGATTTCAGCTGCGGCCCACACCCCAAAACCTTTTGGGCCTTGGTGGGGGGACCTGGCCCAGGCTACTGCTTTCGAGACAGCAGATGGTTTGCAAATAATTTGTAAGAAATTATTTGCAAAGCTGCCACCGGGATGCTGCATGAGCGTGGCTGGGGCTCTGGGGACTGGAGCAGTGGGGTGGCCCAGTGGGGTTGGGGACGGAGCGACAGTGTTGCAAATCCAAACTCCAGGTTTTGAGGGGATTTAAACCACAGGGTCTCATTTTGCTGAGCAAAGCCTGGAGGAGGTGGAGCGCAGACAGAGAGGTGTAGGCTGGAGGAAGCAATCTTGCTCTTGCTCAGGTTTCTTCGCCCACCCCAACGTCACTGGTTTCCTCTCACCAGCAGTGAAGAGCCTTCTGACGCCCGCGCTAGGCTCTGTGCCATGGGGTGGCTTTGCTGCCTGGTATCCTGACCCTGCCCATGTTTTACATGGTTCCTGTCCACTGTGGGATCCATCTCCAGCATGACAACTACTTAGATGCATCCTTGGGAAGGAGTGAGGGGTCCCTACAACAGACTCTGTGGCCAAAATATCACCCGCTTTGTGTCAAGCAGCCAGGGAGGGATTTGGGGGGCAAGGATACAGCATCCAAGGTAGGGGTGCGTGAGCCCAGCCCTCTGCATGCACCAAAGCAAAAGTCCCTGGTGGTGCTGGCACCGGTGCCAAAACAGAGTCAAGGCAAGTGTTGGTGGGGGGATTTCTCCTGACCACAGAGGGATTTAACTGAGCAGGTCTCTGCAGTGCTGAGCTCTTCCTCCCTGCACCTCACATCGGCTTCTGGTGTTGTCCTTGCAAAGGCGGTTGGGACTTTTATCCAGAGCCACTTTATCTGGGGCTGCCCAGCCATTGCTTCACAGAAAGCTCCAGATGAAGCAGTGCTGGGTCCCAGTGGCTGCTGCTGTGGCCAAGCTCGGTGATGTGCAGGATGGGGCCCCATGAGGTGTGGCTGGACAAAATGGTGCCATTATGTGCACTTGTTGGCTTGCAGAACCCCCTCCCCCCTTCCCTCCTCCCAGACATCACAGATGCATCCTGGATTTCTGCATTGCCCATTCTTAGGACAATTGGCTTTTTTTTTTTTTTTTCCTGAGGATCGTTGTGTAAATTCAATTGGTATCTCAAAAAATAAAGGGTCAGGGGATGCTGAGATAGGGCAGAGATGTCACACAGGCTTGAACCCATGTTGTTATCAGGAATTGCTTTTCACTAGAAAATTCACTCGCAATGATATCTTTTTTGTAGCGTGCAGCATGCCCCTAGGCTGTGATGTGTGTGTGTGTGCAGGGACCTGAGCTGCAGGTGCCGCTCTTTGCAGCGACTCTTATCATGCTTCAGAGTGTCTAGCCCATGGGACCAGCCACTGCCGTCTGCAGGGACGTGACTCACTTGTGGAAAATAATCTCATATTAGTCACCATCGCTTTTGCTGGATCATCCCAGTTTCTGGTACTTCCCTCTACATGTCCCTAGCCGTGGCCACGGCACAAGAGGTTTTTGAGAACCCAGAGACAGCTTGCTGGCTCCTGCATGCTTCCTCATGTAGAGACAAACACAAAGCTATTTATTTCCATGAAACAGAAAACTACATTTGCAGCTGTCATTGCAAAATGACATTGGAGAACATTCGCTGTTTTTTATTGCACATACCCAACATCCTTCAAGAGGGATGGCAGGGAGGTTGTGTGCATGAGAAAAGGATTTGGAGCAGGGACTGGTGGCTGTGTGGGCACTGCAGTAGCACCCGATGCAATTTGTCACACTTCAGCAGGGCTCCTCCTTTCTGGGAGCAGCCAGCAGGATGCAGGCACCCCACTGTGGCCAGTCCCCAGAGCTGGAGGAGGAGCAAGGATGTTTTGGAGGAAATATTCAACGACAGAGGCGGTTACCGCAGGAAATGCTTCAGGGGGCACCGTGTTTGCTTTTAGGGGCTCTTTGCTGCCCTGCAAACACAGCAGGGATGCGCGGGTGAAGGGCTGCATCCAAGAGAGATTGCAAGACAACCTGGGGGAAGCCAGGAAAAAAGCCTCACCTCAGTCCTGCATGAAATTTTCAGTACATGAGCTGGGTATTGCACTGGCCACAGAAGGTAGAAACTTGGAAAAGTGGTCAAGGAGGTAGCCGCAGCCTTGGTAGCTCTGGTTTTGTGAACACAGAAAACTTTCCACCAGGCAAAAAATAGCATCACTGTCTGCAAAGGCAAGATCCTCGCAGCAGCTCCCACTGCATGCCTCTGTGGGAGCCCTGAAGTGGGGATGGCTGCTAGGGAGGGAACGCACGACAGGTATGAAAGATCCTGCAAACTGCTGATTTGGCCTTAAGTTAGCCCAAAGTAGAGGGAGAGCTGTCTCATGCAGAGGGAAAGAACATTGGTGTGTATCGTGCACAAGTGTGTGTGTGATCACAGCTAAGCCATATGTGGTTACACCTTGAATATAGCATTTTGGGAGTGCTGATGCTAAAGTAAAGGGGGCCGAAATGTACCACACTATTCTTCGTGCAGCAGGGAAAACATGGGAATGGCTACAAACAGGGAGAACAAACTGTATTTCCAGGAAGGACTGGGCAATTTAAGCTCAGGACTGAAAGCAGGAGGAATGTCTGCGTAGCAGTGCTGGCTAGGTCACTCCCTTTACATGATGCAGAGCCCTGATGCAGTGGCGATGGGCCGAGGGGGAGGACAATATCACTGATAAAAGGTAATAAAATGTTGCATTTTTTTGTAAAAGACACAATTTCTCCTTGCAAGCACTGGGCCACTGGAATATCGAAGCTGCTGGGCTGATCTCTTAGTGAAAGATGAACACGGAGCTGATGGATGGAGACATCCTGATTGGGATAATGGCACCAATCCTGACACTATTGCATCCTGGATTCCCACCCCCTCGGGTGCAAGCACTGACCCCACCAGCTGCTTTGCAACATCTTTGGGGTTAAGCCTCAGTGGTGCTTGGTATAGAGACTTCATTCTGCTGACGTTGGTGCTTATTAAACATAGCATCAGCATTTGTTTCACTGAAGGGAAACTGAGGTGCTGTGATCAGACAGGAAACGGAAAGCAAAATTCTGTGAGGTGCTCTGAGTGCCATCAGCTCATGAGAGCACTGCCTTCTGCAGATTGGGGTTGATGTGGAGCTGTCTCGCTCAGGATTCTTGCCAGAGTGATGGGCTGTGGTTTTTGCAGAGCAAAGAGCAAAGCGCTCGTGAGAGGCAGGCACCTGTCAGCCTGCGCTCCAGCCCTGTGGACCATTCCCCTGTGGAACTAGCATCAGCTACACAACATGAAAGAATAAGATTTAGGAGGAGGAGTGATGCTGCTTGTAAGCAGTTTGGCAAGAATTGTGTTCATATTTATGAGATTTGGGTAATGCAGATGTTTTGGCAAAGAGCAAAGAAGCTGCCTGCAGCTGGAGGAGCAGTGTGGAGGAGCTGTTTGGTTGCTGCAGCAGGGCAGTTCCCAGGAGCAGGATTTTTCAGGGCAACAGGCTGCCAAATCCCTTTCAGAGGTCCTTGCTCACAACCACATCCTCTGCAGGGGGTATCTCATGTCAGCATAAAATGAGAGATAAGCAGCATCCTTACCATGCTTTGAAGGATGATTTTTGGATTCACCATCATTTTTTAGAAAAGGATTTGCAATGCTGTGGTGGTTTCAGTGGGCAAGTGAGCTCAGAGTGTCCTGCCCATGCTGGGCTCCAAAGGACAAAGGAAAAATGCAGTGGGGCTTCTTACTCTGGGCGATTTGGAAGAGGAATCTAGGAATGGTCCCAAACTGCAGCACCTCTGAAGCAACTGCTAACTGTGCAGTGATAAACACAAAATATTTTGCAGGTCCATGCTGCCCGTGGGTATCTGTGTAGATGCAAGATGCAGCACTGGTCCCAAGTATCACAAGGCCATAATTTTTAATTTTTCACTTTCTCGAGCTTATCCTTTGAACAAGGTCAACAAATTCCCAACACTCACAGCTAATGTAGCTTTTGCAGCTCTCTGCTCCACCAGCTGACTCAGGGGGAAAAGTGGACACTGGGGGTCAGAGCTATGGGGCAGCTGTGGCTTGCCCCTGCAGTGCTGCACAACACCACCTTTGCAGCCCAGTCTCCTCTGTCCAAATCCTGCACTGCAGGACTTGGCCGCATGTCATTGTTTCTAGCAAGGCGGATATCTGGAAATCACCATGTGCAGAGACTAGCAAAGTTGAATTCCCCTGCAGTCACAAATTAGTTTTACCCCACACCCATAAATGCTCACCCTACCCAGCTGCATTGGCATTGGTGTCCTGCAGGCAAAAAAACAAAACATCCCTTCTGGAAATGATTCCTCCCAAGGCATTTACTATCACAGAAGCATTTGGAGATGCCACAAGGCCACATGCTGGTCCTTGGTGCAGATCAGTGTTACCAATGGGAAGCATCTATGCAATGGGAGACCAGAGACACCTCCCTGCCCTGCTGGTAAATCCATACCAACAATTCTCTCCTCCTTGACACTTTCCAATATCCTTGCAGGAGGTCAGCCCCTTTGGCAACATGAGGCAATGCTCTTCCAATGCAAAACTCTATTTTCCAAACAGTTTTTGTAATGTTTTTTAAACATGGCTGGGTCATTTTGCTGCTGCAGGCTGTTTGGGGTGGGGATAAAAAATAATAATAATAATAAAAAAAACCAACAACAAAAAAAACCAGCACACACTCCCATTAAAAACAAACAAACAAACAAACAAAAAACACCTAATGATTTTCTTCTCGCTTGCAAGGCAATTACTCCCACGCAGGAAAAAGGAAGCATACACTGACAGATACTGCAGCCACTTCCTTTAAAACTCGATAGCCAGTTTGCTTGGTGCAGGCAGAGGGGCAGAGAGCCGCTCTCGTCATCGCAGCTCCGTCGGCCCTGTGGACGGGTCTGGGGTGGCTGGGCCCCCTGCATCCTCACCAGCCCGTCCCTCTCTCCCCTGGCAGCCCGCTCCAAGAGCGTGATGAGCGGTGAGGCAGCAGGCGCCCGGCCAGGCTCCCCCAACCCGCTGGAGCGGCCCCTGAAGATCGGCTGGCTGAAAAAGCAGCGCTCCATTGTCAAGAACTGGCAGCAGCGGTACTTCGTGCTCAAGGGCCAGCAGCTCTACTACTACAAGGACGAGGATGATGTCAAGCCGCAGGTAGGATGAAGGCCGCCAGCTTCGCAGGTCCTCGGCCTGCTGCTTTCCACTGCCTTGCTGGGGGGAAATGGTTAGGGATAGGTCTGGAGTAGGGTTTTTAAGAGGTTTTATGCCTTGGGGTGGTAACAGAGATGAGATGTCCCAACAAGGTTCTTTGTCCATGCACTTAAATCCACACAATGCTTGCAGACCCTGCTGGGGCTGGGCCTGCACAAACCACTGCTCAGGGAAGGAAGGTGTGGGAGCACTCTGGGTGGGAGGACATCAGCTTCTTGTCCCAATTATATGGATCACTTCTCAGGTTTTCAACCATTTTCTCCACGCTGTGACTTTATTTATTTATTTATTTGAATTTCCACCACCTTTTCCTTGTTTTGAGAGTTTTCAGGGAAGGACCCTCCCCTTTGCCGGAAAAGCCATTCTCTGCAGAAGTTGTTACTGATAGCAAAAACAATCCCAAGCTGACAAAAGCTCGCAGGGGGCAGGCAGTCATCAGATCCTGGGTGTGAAAGCACGGGGCTGAGGCAGTGGGGCACATACCCTATTTCTGTCTCTGTCCTCTTTTGGGGGTGATGGGGAGGAACTGTTTCCCTGGCTGTAAATGGGGTTGTAGAAACAGAAAGCTCTGCAGTGAAGCTTATTGCTATTCATGGCACTTTTGGCAGCCCTTGCCACCGTCCTGGCTCATTTCACGCCCTGCTGGCTCCACCAACAATTTAGCTCAATGCAGCTGCAGTTCAGGCTGTTGGAGTGCTGACACCCAGATCCCCACTGCCCATGGAGCTCAGTGGCTTTCAGGAGGCAGAAATTACTGAGAAACCCCATTTCTGTGGCGTGGCCCTGCTTCCGGCCAGGAGGCCTCGATGCTGACTCACGCGCCCACTGTCCCCATGTCATCAGCTGCTCCCCACCCATCTCCGCCCCCGGGGACCGAGCCACCCAGCTCGGACAGGTCAATCTGGGGAAGGACAGACCACGAGAAATGGTTGTTTTCTGCCTTTTTATTTATTCCGCCTCCCCCCCCCCCCCCCCTCTTTTTTCTCCTTTTTTTTTCTTTTCCTGCACTTCACTCCTGTCCTGTAAACTTTTTGGTTTGGATTTTGGTTTTAAGTGACACTATGTTAAATGAACAGTTTTCCTGCTCCAGTGCAGTGGGAAGACAATGCTCTGGTTTATTGCCATGTTCCTTCTCCTTTGCATTTTTCTCCTCTAATTACAACAGGGGGTAAAAAACACAAGAGGGGGAGGAAAAAAGAAAGAGGGACAGAAACAGTTTTCTCATTCTGAGGATCACTTCATCAGAAAAAAATGGCATTTAAGAATTAGTGTTTGAAGTCCTTTTTAGCACCTCTCTTACGAAGAAAGACTGAGAGAGCTGGGAATGTTCAGCCTGAAGAAGAGAAGGCTCCAAGAAGACCCCGTTGTGGCCTATCCATATTTAAACGGGTCTTTTAAAAAGGATGGAGAACAACTTTTTGCTTGGGCAGATAATAATATGACAAGGGGGAATGGCCTTAAACTAAATGAAGGGAAATTTAGATTAGACGTTAGGAGGAAATTCTTCACTCAGATGGTGGTGAGGCACTAGCACAGGTTGCCCAGAGAGGTTGTGGATGCCCCATCCTTGGAGGTGTTCAAGACCAGGCTGGATGAGGCCCTGAGCAACCTGATCTAGTGGGTGGTGTCCCTGCCCAAGGCAGGGGCTTGGAACTAAATGATCTTTGAGGTCCCTTCCAACCCAAGCTGTTCTATAATTCTATGATTCTATGGTATTTAGGTGATCAATCTATCTATCTATCTATCTATCGATCTATCTGTCTATATTTGCAAAGAGAAAAATTGCAATGAGAAACTGAGCTTCTGCAATCTGTTTCAAAGGAGGACTTTGATGCTCAGGGCTGACACAAAGCAGTGTCAGCCTCACAGAGATGGGCCATGGGTATTTTCAGCTCCTGCTCTGCTTGATCCTAGGGCTGCCTGTCTCTCCAGGGAAGCACCATAAAGGAGGTGGCTGGCAACTCAGAGGATGGAGGGAAGTTTATCTTCGAAATCATCCCAGGTGAGGATGCTTCACTCAACTTTGTTACCTGCTTTTGGGATGGACTGTTCACCCAAAATTGCTTGGGCAAGTCATTTTGCCTGCCTTTTTACTCCAACTTCTTTTCAATGCCTCCCCAGCATTGCATATGAAAGCTGATGTTGTCCTTTCAATTTTTACATGTCAGGATGTCCCATGCTGAGAAGCCTTTCCAGCCATAACATTAAGCATTTTCTATTCCCTTCTTGCAAAGCTTCAGCGAGGGTGAAACATAAGAGCACTGCTTCTTTTCACAGCCAAATAGACATTACTGGGGAAACTGGAAGCTAGAAACATTTAGCAAAGAAAACACCAAGTTGTCTTTTTTCTGTCCAATCCTCACTATATATTGCCTATAAATGCTTTTTGCAGGGATCTCTGGAGATCTGAACCGGGCAGGGCAGGACACCTGTGTGCTCATGGCTACTTCCCAGTCCGAGATGGAGGAGTGGGTTAAATCCATCCGACGGGTGCTGGGCTCAGCATCAGGAGGTAAAGGGGAATGGGAACAGCTCTCTGAGGGATGTTTTTTTAGTGTCTCATGCTCCGTGCTGCTTCTGTGCAAGAATTTCAAAGCTGGTCTCATAAATCCATGAAAATGGAAAGTGGAGCAGCAACTGTAACTTGTAATGCCTTGGAGGCCTTCCTCGAGGCTGGACCTCATGGCGTTGGGACTGCTGCAAACACAGGCAGAGTTAAGCAAATGGCAGTCAAGAGTGAATGAAGATTTCCAGTCTCCTTTCAACCTCTTTGGGGAACTTCCTCGTTGACCTATTGACTTCAGAAAGTTTCGTTCCTGAGGACAGCTCCTATTCAATGTGTCAGGGAAAGGCACTGAAAAAGAATCTCATCTTTCCTTTTCCTTCTCTGCTTTTCCCCCAGCTTTTCTCATTCTGCTTAGCCCTCCTTCCCCACTTTTCTCTGCAAACTCTGCCTCAGACGTGATTGACCACTCCATGTGCTGACAAGGCTTGTGCTAATGGGATCCTCGCTTCCAAACCCTTGCACACTTGTTTGTGCCACTACTGGGTTGTGGACATGGAGGGATAAAACATGAACTGATTGGAGAGGAGCACAGCTTCAATTTGCCACTGTGGGCGATCCCCGCAAAGGAAGCAGCTAAGCTTGCTCCAGCCACTTTCCCTATACAGATGAACTACTCTGACTTCCTATAAGGATGAATTATCCAGACTTTTCCTATGGATGATAAGCAACATCCACCAGACAAAGCAGGGCTGAGAGCCCCGTTAGCACTTTCACAAAAGAGATGGTTGTCCTGAGCCTCTCCTCCTCCTCTCTGTGCTTCACCTTTAAAATCATAGAATGGCTTGAGTTGGAAGGGAACTGAAAGATCATTTAGTTCCAACCCCCCTGCCTTGGACAGGGACACCACCCACTAGATCAGGTTGCTCAGGACCTCATCTAACCTGGTCTCAAACACCTCCAAGGATGGGGCATCCACAACCTCTCTGGGCAACCTGTGCTAGTGCCTCACCACCATCTGAGTGAAGAATTTCCTTCTAACCTCTAATCTGAATCTCCCCTCTTTTAGTTTAAATCCCTTCCCCTTTCTCCTAACATTATCTACCCGAGTAAAGAGTCTTCTCCATCCTTTTTTATAAGACCACTTTAAATACTGAAAGGCTGTGATGAGGTCACCCCAGAGATTTCTCTCCTCCAGATCGAACACCCCCAGCTCTCTCAGCCTTTCTTCATAGGAGAGGTGCTCCAGCCCCTTGATCATGTTTGTAGCCCTCCTCTGGACCTGCTCTAACAACTTGACATCCTTTGTGTTCTGGGGGCTTTAGACCTGGACACAGTACTCCAAGTGGGGCCTCACAAGGTCAGAGCAGAGGGGGACAATCACCTCCTTTGACCTGCTGGCCATTCCTCTTTTAACATGGCCCAGGATACATTTGGCCTTCTGGGCACACGCTGCCGACTCATGTTGAGCTTTTCATCCATCGGAACCCCCAAGTCGTTCTCTGCAGGGCTGCTCTCAGTGAATTCTTCTCCCCTCAATAAGTTCTTCTCCCAGTCTATGCTCATGTCCGGGATTTTCCCTGCCCAGGTGCAGCACCCTATATTTAGACTTGTTGAACCTCCTTAGGTCCTTTTGGATGGCATCCCTTCCTTCTACAGTATCAACTGCACCACTCAGCTAGATGTCATCTGCAAATTTGCAGAGGGTGCACTTGATCCCACTGCCTATGTCTTTGGTAAAGATATTAAACAGTACTGGTCCCAGGACAGATGCCTGAGGTACACCACTTTTCACCAGCCTCCACTTGGACATAGAACCATTGACCACCACTCTCTGGGCGTGACCTTCAAGCCAGCTCCTTATTCACTGAATGGTCCACCTATTAAATCCACTTCTCTCCAGTTTGGAGACCAGAATGTCAAAGGCCTGTGTCAAAGGCCTTGCAGGAGTCCAGGTAGATGACATCGGTCAGTTTTTCTTCGTCAACTGATGCGGTCCTTTCATCACAGAAAGCCACCAGATAGGTCAGGCATGATTTGCCCTTGGTGAAGCCATGCTGACTGTCCTGGATCACCTCTATGTCTTGCATGTGGCTTGACGTATCTTTCAGGAGGATCTTTTCCATGATCTTACCAGGCACAGAGGTGAGGCTCACTGGTCTGTAGTTCTCTGGGTCCTCTTTTCTACACTTTTTAAAAATGGGAGTGATGTTTCCCTTTTTCCAGTCACCTGGGACTTCACCTGACTGCCAGGACTTTTCAAATATGATGGAGAGAGGCTTAGCAACTACATCAGGCAATTCCTTCAGGACCCTGGGATGCAATGATTTACATCATTTTGATAACGGTTGTGTCCTGTGCTGCAGCTGTGTAAGACGAGCAACAAGAAGCTCTGACCTCCTGTAGCTCCCACTTGAATAGAAGTTTGGATGCTGTTTTCATTTGTAGTTCAAATGTTTTCTGCCTCTAAACTGAAGTGTGCTGTGCCCCAGGGAAGACAGCTTTACTCTTCTGAAATTAGGATGGTCTGAGCCAGAAATGTTCAGGATGTTGCTCCCCCTGGCTTTAATATTTCATACCAACTCCACATCTGATCCTTGCTTAAATTTTGGAGGCTGACGCTTCTTCTAGCCTGATAAAGTGATCTTATATGATGGAAAATGTGAATTTACAGTAGTACAGAGAGCACTGAGGATAGCAGAGAAGTCAGGCTCTACAGAGCTGCACTTCATGTTGATACAGAGATGCACAGACACCAAAAGTTCACGCTGTAGGTTTTTGGCTTCAATGCAAGCCAATACAATGTGTGCTTTTAAAACAACGCCCTGCACAGCAGAGGTTTTGGCAGGAGCTCACCTGGAAGCCACCCTGCGTGAGCCAGCCAGTTGTGAGCTTGCTGCACACCAACATGTCAAGCAGCTGCAAAGTGTGAAGCAGCATCAAAAACAGCTCCAAAATCTTGGGTCCAGGAGCAGTTCTGCAGGGCTGGCCACCACCCTGCAATGACAGCCACCTTCTGGGTGGGCATCATGTGGGTACGGGGAGGTTTCCTGAAACCAGCCACTCTGCCAGCTTGAAGTTAAATGAGCAATTCAGAATCAGTTACCACAACAGAGGGCAAAACAAACAAACAAACAAACAAATTTAAAAAGCCATATGCTTTTATTGTACACAATTGACAAATGTATATACATTATTTAAAATCTTAAGCAAGTCTCATATAAATGAAAAACCCCCACTACTAGGCAGGTGCAGACAAGCTTTGTGGTTCCAGATGAGGGTGTTTACTTGAATTTTCCTGGTCTGGAAGATCCACCAGGATTATTTCAGCCTTCAGAGCATGAGGTGAACACACCACAGGCACTGCCATGGCAAAAATATGGTAGAGGACCATAGGACCCTTTGTCATTACCTCAGAGCCAGTTTGAGTTGGGATTCCTGTGCTGTTACCATGCCCCAGGCTCCAAGGAGGAAGAGCTGGGATGCAGGATGCTGCCTTCCCACCTTTGAGCTCTTTTGCTGCGAGTTTGGGAGGAAAAAGCCCTTGCTCCGAAGAAAAGGTACCACCCACTGAAAACACTGCTTTTCTTTGCACTGGGGAGTTCTGAGAGGGTGAGGAGAGAGGGGAGGGGGAAGGAAAGTAGTGAAATCAGTAGGACTTCTAGCCCCACATCTCTGCCAGACTCCTCTTCTTAATTCCTAGTGGTTTCCTGGGCTTTGTACATTGTTCAGGTTTGCACAATGTGCTCGCTTTCCCTCCATCACCAGCCTTTTTGCTGTTCCTGCCTCTCTGTCAGCACCCTGCTTTGAGGAAGGCAAGTGGCATGGTGTAAAATAAGAAAGAAAAATAAAAAAAGCAATGGTCATGGCTTGCTTTTAATCATTTTGAGAATGTAATTATTTGGAGGAGGTTTCATTTTGCTATTATTTCTTTGAAAGAATTTCTGTTCCCTTCTGTCAGCTTGTACTACTTCTGCAGCTCTTCACTGTTAGAAAGAAAGGTAGGTGCTGCTGTCACCTCTGCACCTGATGCATGGCAGTGAGTAACTCACCTTTAGCAAAGCTGTTGACCTCCTTTAACTCCAACGTCCTTTTCCTAGCGGTGTTTGGCCAACGCTTGGCAGAGACCATGGCCTATGAGCAGAAATTTGGGCAGCACCAGGTGCCCATCCTGGTGCAGAAGTGTGCTGAGTTCATCCGGGAGCACGGCGTGAATGAGGAGGGCATCTTCCGCCTCCCTGGCCAGGACAACCTCGTGAAACAGCTCAGGGACGCCTTTGACGCCGGGGAAAGGCCATCATTTGACAGGTAATGCTGGATTCTTCCTCTCTTACTCAGCTAGGTCTAATGCACCCTAATATCTGGGAAACAGCAGCCTAACCCCTTTGCAAGAGCCCAACAATGCCCTGGTGGAAATCTGGACCCTCCAGAGGGGCTCAGCACAGACAGAGGGTTCAGCAGACACCTCAAAAAGCAGGACTGTGATAAGAGATTTACAGAAATCTTTGAGGAGGAGTTTAGGGACACTCAGTCCCCCCACAGTAACATTCCCAGGACCAGCCAGGAAAGGAGACAAAGGGAAGAGCCTACATAGCCCAGGACAGAGGTTTGAAAGGAGAGCAAGTGAACAATTGTTCAGGGAATACCCTATAGCTCACAGAAGTCATTTCTTTCCCTGCCAACCAACTGGCACATTTTTCTCCCATTGCTTTTCCCTGTGACACCATGCAGAGGTGAGAGGGAGATTTTGGCTGTTGTGAAGGCTGATCCCTCCTGACTCCTTTCCTCTACATGGCTCAGAAGAAAGAACAAACCCCCTAAAGCCAAGAGAGCTGCCCATCACTGCCTGTAGGTCTCAGGGAGGCTCTGAGGAGAGGTGTTTGTTGCTATCATACTCTATGCAAAGAAGAAGGGGAAAAAGAAGAAGAAAAAAAAGCCACCCACAAACAGCCAGCCCTGGTGCACCTCTTCATAAAGCTGTCCCTTGATTGCTCACTGACCTGCTGCCCCTGCACTGCGTCATTGTCTCTAAGGATGTTTCCCTCCTCCAAGCCAGACCCTACCATGTGCTTTTGTCCATGGTTGTTGGAGGTATTGCCCTGTGTTCCCCACTCACCCATGTGGTTGCTGCAGGGCTTTGATCCCCACTTTATGCTGGTGACAGCAGGGAGCCCATCTCTGGGTCAGCTGGCAAAGACCAGGGCACCCAACAACAGGCACCCCCCTCCTTTTTTGTGAGGAGTTTGCCTAAGCAGAGGACAGGGGCCATATCTCTGTGCACCTGTCCCCAGTCACAAAACTTTTTCTGTTTTTACCCTGGTTTATGCAGCTCTGTTAGGAAAAAAACACAGCACTTTTACCCATATAATCTGTGTGCCGTGCAAGGCAGAGCCATGTCTGCTTTGCAAGTGTAACCAACCCAGCCCTTGTTTTTGCAGCTGAGTATTTCTTGTTTTCTGTGTGCCTGAGTCCTGTTGCAACCTGTATGGGGGTCATAGGAAGGTGAAGCTTTTATTTTTTTTGCAGAACCGTGTTTTGCAGCAGGGCATGGCAAGGGAGGTTGGCACTTCTCCCAGCACCATGCCATGTTAACCCTGTGCTGCAGGGCTTGGGATGAACATCACTTTGGTATGACAGTGTGATCACAACCCCTGTGCACTTCAAACAAAATGTTTCTGTAGTAGTGAGGTGGGAGTTAGGAAGGCCAACAAAAGGGTTTCCATCAATGTGACTGCTGCAAGATGCTGGCTTTGCAGTCAGTTTGGGTCTGCACAGGCACATTTACATGCACAAGCATGGCTCAACTGTGTGGGGAGAGAGAAAACTCCTGGTGCAGCTCAGACATCAAGGATGCCTAATGCTATATATACGTAGGCCCTACAAAAATACAGCTCTGAAAAAATTATGCCATGAGTATGTGGGTTTGTTAAAAAATCATAGGATTTAAAAAACCCAAAGCAATCCTAAAAATAAATGACCTGGGGGATTTTTGCTAGAAGTTTGTAACAGTTTAGCAACTTCAAGGTAGGTCAAATTAGAGGCTTACAATCTTGACAGTGTCCTTTTGACATAATGTAAACTACATGGTATGCAAAGCTGCAAACATCTGGCCCAGCAGAACATCTTCAGTAATTGCTGTCAATCTTACAAACCCCAGGCAAGCTTCGCCAGCTCCGTGCAGAGCGGGGAGTGCCTGCCAAGCATGTGAACACCAGACGGTGTTTGCATGCAAACCCTCGTGAGTCAAACACAGGCTGGGAAGGCTCAGCCTGGGTATGAGCACTGGGGACCTGCAGCAGAGAAAATCTCCACCAAGCATTTATTTTCCTGCCAGCTGGGGACATTCCCCAGCTTGGGGTGCCCTGTGAGTCTCCCCCAGCTTGCTTTGGCTTCCCTATTTACAGTTCTCTGCCTCCTGCATCTATATACAGAGCTTAAATACAGTCCCCTGCTCCTGGGGCAGTGTAGGTTTTTTTCACTGTCTGGGTCTGATTTTGATGTGTGTGGCTCTCACAGGGACACAGATGTGCACACCGTGGCCTCCCTGCTCAAGCTCTACCTGCGGGAGCTCCCCGAGCCGGTTGTGCCCTGGATACAGTATGAGGATTTCCTGCTGTGTGGCCAGGCACTGGATATGGATGAGAGAAAGGTACAGAGCTGCATTTGTTTCTCTCCTACTGGCCTTAAAATGAGCTGCAATTGTGAGCTGGAGTTGCAGAGTGCATATTTAGCTGTCCATTATTAGCTGTGTAATTACCGAGCTTGGAAACCTGAAAAAAAATATTGAAAAAGAGAAAATCTCCCCATGCCAGTGGAATTTCCCAACTTGGAAACATGGGTTTATCAATTTTAAAACTCAAATTTCAAAAGCAAATCTGAGAGCTACTCCACAGCACTTTTCATTTGGCCCTTGCAGCAAACAGCAAGCGTGAAAGCCAACAGAGAAAGGAAATGGTACCTCCTGCAGCTGCTGTTGGCCTGAGCTGAGAGTGGAGGTGGCAGAGGGCTACAGGCAAGAGCAAAGACAGAAGTGGGGGTCTGGGAGAGGACTGCAGGGGTGAGAAGCAGATGGGAACTGTCTCTTCCTAACATTGTGTTTTGGTGGAAAAGAAGCCACACCTGCTGTGAGAAGGTGCTCAGGAATCCTGTGCACAGGAAAATAAGATGGATACCATCCCCAGTCAATTGAGGTCTGTGAACTGCCATGTTCAGCCCTGTATTTCAAGGGTAAATGTCTCTTGTAGCTTGTTTCAGTTTAGGATGTTTGGGGTTAAACATATCCTAAATGTTCCTATACAAGAAATGGGAGGCCATTAGGCGTTTTCCCAGGTGCTCAGCACTCACTGCTGGGCTGGAGGGGACCTGTGCCAGGTCCCCTTCACTGCCAGGCAGCAGCAGTGGGATGCCTCTTCCTGCTGAGCAGTGTACAAATGCGTCACCGTGTCTGTGCTGGGTCACCCAAAGAAATGTCATTGCCACAATTTCACTTCCAAGGCAAGCAATTGCCAGGTGAGACCGTACAGGGATGGATGGAGCAACAAAGAGCCTCGCTTAAATCCTTGTACACCTGTGAATCTTTACAGAACTATTCCTTAACTTGCATTTAGGGTCATCAGGAACTTCTGGAGCAACTGTCCCTCCTTCCCAGAGACAACTACAATCTCCTCAGCTATATCTGCAGGTCAGTCCTTTGCATAAGGTATAAAGAGCTCAGATTTGGTGTTGGTGAGGAGAAATATCATCCCAAATTGAGGCTGAGACCTCAAGTGAGACCTCTCTCTTCCAAACTGTGCTTTGGTTCCCCTCCTGACTTTTGTTAAGGGAGAGTTTCAGCCATGGGGATAAAAACCTCAATGATGTCTGAGCAAAAATGCATAGCCTGTAAACCTCAGACATACTTATGTACCCTGAGAATAAAAATCAGGTGTAGTTGTTTTTAGACAAAGATAATGAAATATCATTTCATAATGATATAGTCATTATCATCATAATATATCATCAATGATATATTTCATTGCATAATGAAATAGTCAGGTTTCACCCAGCCTGGCCCCGGGTGAGGTGTGATTTCTCTCTTATTATTAAATATTAGACTTTTTCCCCCCTCTACTGTTTGCGTTTTTTTGGGGTGTGCATATCATCACATGGTGGTTTTCCTACTGGCACCAATTAGACCCAGCTCCAGCATGCAGCTATAGATCACCTATGTGCTTCTGTCCTGTCCTTGGGATTTAGAGGAAGAGGACAGATTAATTCAGGATTTTATCCCAGTGGATGTCTAAGACTTTTTTGCAGAGTCTTTCTTTTCTGACTGGAAATGTTTGCCCTTGGATTCTGGCAGATTTCTACATGAAATACAGTTAAACTCTAGTGTCAACAAGATGAGTGTGGATAACCTGGCAACAGTGATTGGAGTGAACCTCATCAGACCCAAGATAGAGGATCCTGCAACTATTATGAGAGGTAACAGGGACTCCTGGAATAATTGGCACAGAAGCACCTGATATGTTGAAGCACTCAGTTGCATCCACAGACTTAAAATTAAAAAAAAATCTAAGGTAGATCCTTGGTTATAAGCCAGACATGTGCCTGAGTACAGTAAGTACTACAAGGTAGTGTAAAGCTAAGGACTAGTTAGGCTATAAATGTGTTTGTGGAGTCAAAAACCCTTTTGCACTTTTAGTTGCACTATTTTCCCCATAGATTTCAAACAATTCAGGAATTTGCTGAAGTCTCCTTTCTTTTGCTTAGAGCAGAGAGGTGTGAAATTCTTCTTAGAGAAACAAAGGAAGCTCAAATAAATTACTGCTTGGTTTAGCCAAACTCTCATCCTGTGGGCAGGGACTGATGTAGCCAAACTAAGAGAATTATTCTGAGGCCAAAGACTGCTCTGATTTACAGGCACGATGGTAATGATACTGTACATCACATGCAAATTGTCCAGACATTCATATATGTGTTGGTATAACTGATGCTCTTAGTTTGCTTCTTGAGCCAAAGCAACACAATTTGTATTTTGTTGCAGCTGAGCAGACTCTCAGATGTTTTGGTGTGACATAAAATTCCCTCCTTTTATTTGGTTTCATAATCATGCTCCTTGTGTTCACCTGCATTTCGATGTGCATGTTCATTCTGGACACTGGAAAGACTGACCACGAAACACAGCTGTGGGTGGCAAAAAGCCTGTAACACTGGGTTTTCTGCTAATGTGTCCCTGACTTCTTCCAGGCACACTGCAGATCCAGAAAGTGATGACTGTGATGATCAGTGACCATGCAGACCTCTTTCCCCCATCCAAGGATGTGCTGCCCTCCCCACCAACCCAACAAAATGACAAGAAAGCTCCCATCCCGCGCAGCTCTGTGGGCTGGGATGCTGCAGAGGACATCATTGTGCCCAGGACGGACAGCTTGATCCAAAGGCAAACGGTAAAGGTAGAATTTTGGAGAATAAAACATGAATGCAATAAGTGGCTGACTGATGATTATGGGATCTAATGGGTCAGCAACCCACTAAGAGTGCTTGCTATAAATAGGGTAAAGAACTGTAACTGTCATCCCTGGTAATACAAGTTCTTTCCTGGAAAACAAGTTCATTCCTGTGGAAAACTTACTGTTCTGGAAAGAATGATTTTTTTAGCTAAATAGATGAATAGAGGAAGAATAGATGAAACCTTTTCTGTTCATGCTGATAAAGTGAAAACTTTGATGGTTAAAGGCTTTTATCAGAAAGAAATAATCTCTGCAGAAAGCTCTTCATAATGGAAAACATGGTGCAACTCAGAATAATAGTATCAATGAATTGTGGAATCACAGAATCACAGACCGGTTTTGTTTGGAATGTACCTTAAAGCTGATCTAGTTCCAAACCCCCTGGTGTGGGCAGGGACACTAGACCAGGTTGCCTGAAGCCTGGCCTTGTGCACCTCCAGGGATGGGGTATCCACAGCTTCTCTGGGTAACCTGTTCTGGTGCCTCACTGGCCTCTCAGTGACGAATTTCTTCCTTATGTAATCTAAACATTTCTTCATTTTTTAGTTTAAACCATTACCCCTTCTTCCATCACTACGCTTCCTTGGCAAAGAGTTCTTCCTCATCTTTCCTATAAGCCCTCTTTATGTACCGGAAGGCTGCTATAAGGTCTCCCCGGAGCCTTCTCTTCTCTGGGATGAACAACCCCAAATCCCTCAGGCTCTCTTCATACGAGAAGTACTCTGGCCCTCCGGTCATCCTTGTGGCCCTCCTCTGTATCCGTTCCAACAGGTCCATGTCTCTTTTGTACTGGATGAAATACAGGAAGAGAGCAGAGTAGAGGAGGAGAATCACTTCCCTCAACCTGCCGATAAAAGTAAATATTTATGGAAAACTTGTGGCCATTCTTGTTGGCATGTTAAAACATCAGTTGTGAATATTGTGGTCTCAGCAGTCACTGCCCACAAAACAGGATGAGGCTGTCCTAATGCCACTGCTCTGTTTTTCAGAGAGACAACCTGAATGCCAGCAGTGCTCCCAGACTGGCTGTCAGCTCAAGTGCACCCAGCGAAGATAATGGCATGCAACCCTCCAAAGATACACTAGGAATATGGAAAGCACAATCAAGGAAAAGAACTCAAACTTTACCTAACAGGAAATCTTTCCTGACAGCTGCTTCTCCGGGGGAGAAAGGCAACAATGACAAAAATGACATATTTGCGAGTGACTTTTGGAAAGGCTCCCCAGGGAGCAGCATGCGCTCTGTAACCTCTGAAGGACATAAGAGAACATTATCCCATGATCTTTTCAAGCTGCTTGATCTTCACCGGGCTTCAACTTACGACAATGTGCCTACCTCTCCAGCAGAAAGTGGAGAAGGCAGCAGCTCCAGCCCCATCCCTGAGAGCAGCAGCTCTGATAAGGAATTCCAACCCTGCCCTAGTCCCAGCCACCAGTCAAAGGAGCCGTCCAGTCCTGCCAGCAGCCCTGCTGAGGTCTCCCAGCTTGATCCAGAAAGCAAGGAGTTTCTGCAAAACACGATCCTGAAGCTGGAGAAAGAAATGGAGGCACAAAAAAATGAATATGTGGAACAAATTAAAAGGTAATGTGCTGCAGTGTGCTGCCTTGGGGGGAGTATGAAGTCTTCAGCTGATATTATTACAGCAGCAGTGTTGCACAGGATTATTTACCCATACAGTATATAATAGCAATGACTAATGGTAAAATACGGTCTTATAGTATCTAAAATTCAATGCTCATGTGCTGTACTTTCATGACAGAGTTGTTAATGTTAGTATGTTATTGCAATGCTGATACTCTATAGTTCTTTTTACACCACTGTCTGTAATATTTCTGCAATATTTACATAATTATAATTATTGTTAGTAAAATATTGTGCCATTTTACTATCTAGAATTAGTAACAGTAGTATTACAGCATCAGATGGTTGAACACATCATTGTTACTATAGCCTCACATATTGTTAGCATATTATTATATCTCACATGTAATGATTTATTGCATTGTCTGATGTAGCCATTGCTGGTCAGGTGGTCAGATCACCTCTGTCTCGCTTTATTGCTTACTGGCATGGAGGTCAGACTCCCTGAAAGCCAAATGATGAATTCCCAGTGCTCTTCTGATCCAGTCCTTTCATACTCTGTTTCTCTTTTCAGCCTCGAGAAGGAAAACTATGAAGTCTGGGCCAAGGTGGTGAGGCTGAACCAGGACATTGAGAGGGAGAAGAAGAAGTCTGAGGAACTGGAGCTGAAGCTCATGAACCTGGAGCGTTCTCGGGAGGACTTGGAGAAGAAAAACAAGGTGCTTGAGGAGGAGATAAAAAACATTGCTAAATCCAGGAGCAAAAATGATGCCAAAAACAACTAGGTGAAGACACTCAGCTGGGCACAAACATAAAATGCAGCTGAATGAATCCAAAGAAATTGCCAAGCAGGATCAGAACCAGGGACTTGTATTGTCCAATGTCCTGCTACTGACCTTGGGCTGGTGTAGAGGATGGAGCCCAGAAGTTAGAGCATAGTTTAGGCTCTGAAACAGGAAATTTCAAAAATATCGTTTAGCTTTTTTCGTGTGTTTTTTCAACTCCTCTTTTGGCTGCTCAACTTACCTGCAGAACTGGCCAACACCTCTTGCTGCTCAATCAAAATATCTTGCATGCAGGTTAAGGATACATGATGGCTTTATAAAAAACACAAAAACAAACAAACAAAAACCATCAAGAGTCCTTCTTGCCAGCCAGCTGGGTCTTTGTTGGAGACACCAACAGTGCTTCTGAGTGGAACAAAACACCCATAAATCCTGGATTTGGGCAGATGGAAAAGCCCCAAGGTCTAGGGTGGCACAGCTTGTCTCAGTGTCCCTGGATGCTGCGCTGCAAATGCTGTCAGCAAAGAAAACGAAACATTTGCATTAATACATGCACTCGATTACTGCTCTTATAGAGCAAGAGATGCCTAGCCAGCCTATCGGGTCCACCGAGAAGTCTCATACTGCATCACTTGATGTGCTCTGCCATTGATATCAAGGCTCCGGGTGTAAAATCACAAAAATTGCAAAAACCTCATTAGCTAAATGGTTGTTCAGTTATTTTAAGTCACTGGTCCTTATGGTCATTTGTATATAGATCCAGCACAGCTGCTGTCGAGACTTTGGTGAGCAGTTTCACACATCTATACACAGAGTTCTTTGTGCAGCGGGAGTCCACCAGCAACTTTACTCGGTACAGAAAATGGATCTTCTGCCATTTCCCTGGCAGTTTTCACACAAAAATAGATCTCGATTTATTTCCTGCCTCTGTTTTCATTTTTCATTATTTCATCATTGTAGAATAGAATTCCAATGGCCACCTCAGTGGAAACCTGGGTTTGCAGCACAGTAGTGATACTGGATCTCTCTCCATCACTTGCTGCTGTCAGCATACGAACTAACTGAACCCAAGGGTCTCATGGTGCAGGTTTGGCAAACTGTAAACCTGTTGCTTTGGCTGCTTGTTTTTCCACTCTCTGCAAGGACTACAATGCTGCTGAAGCTTTGGTGTAGGAAAGAAAATAACAGGACTCTGAAACCCTTCACTTATTTATGTTCAGAAGGGTGACCCACAATACACAGCCTTAGCCCAGCCATCATGGGAACAGAAGGGGGATCTGCAAGAGTTTTGAACCGAGACTTCTAGGACCAAATACATGCTTCTGTGCTAAGCACAGTGGGAGTTAATGCAACAATATTGGATTACTGTTACTGAGGACTTGACATGAAATTTCTGCTCAAGACAGGATGCAGACCTGCTTGGCAGAGCCTGCATGAGAAAAAAGGACTGGAGAGTGAAATGGATGCAGAGGAAACTATGTGAAAAGAGGCAGATGGGAGTGGGAAAATGTTAATAGAGAATAAAAGTCAATATTGGGTATACTGCACTTGCTGCTGTCAGCCTTGCTGTGGGGGAGTTGTGTAGACCTAAAATCAAGCCCAGTTCCTTAGGCTCAAGCTTAGACTCAGTTGTCTGCTTTGAATCCACCCTTGCTCAGCCATGGATGAAAAGTACAGGTAAAGGAAAGTTTTGTGAAAGTTGAGCTGCATTTAGGAGTGTGAACTATAACCAGCTCATTTCACCAATAAACTCTGGGTGGTTTTCCTTTCCTTAGGATCCCCAGAGACTACACAGCTCCTAACTTCCCTGCCTTCAAACCATTTCACCAGGTAATTACTTTTTTTTTCTGGAATCCAATTTGGGATGACTGCAAAATCACAGTGCCTTTCTCCAAATGGAGGGGTTCCTGGTGCAAACTGACCCACAGTCAAGGTCATCTGCTCTTGCAATGATCAAATCTGATCAAAAAGTTTCAGATCTGAAACTTGACAATTGGAGATCTCAGCAAGGATCACAGTAGCCCTTTGAATTGGTCAAGTGGGGCAGGTGCCCAGAGCCTTTTGGAGGGATGGGCATCATGAAGAAGACCCCAGGGAGGACAATGCAACCTCCACAAGGCTTAGTCACCTTTAAAGCTGAGCTAGCCAAGCCTATCATATTGCCCATTGCTTGCATGCCCTGCATGCTATGGCATCCCAAGACAAAACATTTCTTGCATCTGCAAGAACTGCATTTCACGCAGTTTCTTTCCAGCATCTCTACTGCCATTGGCACTGCAAGTCACAGTCCCCCCCCATGCACCTATGGGACCCATGTCTTCCTGACACTCAGATTAAGAGATTTCCAAAATTCCCATGAGATATATTTCACTTTCCTTCATTTCAGAGTAACTTGCTCCCATTCATAGTTGTTTTCTATGTGATTTCAGATGACCTTGAGAGTTCTGCTTCAGTGTTTAAGTAATTTTTTACTTTTATAGGGATCTTGTTAGTAATCTGGCCATGAGGCTTAGAAGCCATTTAGAGAGACACTTCTCTATTGGGTCTAGGAGAAGCGTCAGGAGCATCTGGGCTGGAAATGCCACACGCTCCTTTCTGTGAAGATCAAAAGTGTGAAGAGGCAAATAATTCCTTCGTGGCTCACAGTAGACCATAATGACGTGAAAAGGCTTGGCTGCGGCTCAGAAGTCTCTGCGATTAGGACAAGTGCACGTTAATTTAGTATAAACTGCACATTCCTCCACTTCCGCTGCAGATAGGCAAAATAACCTTTATCAAACCACATCTGTTTCTGAAGAGCAGAGTAACTTCTTTGAAGATATTCTGCCCATTAAAAATTGAAGTGTTTATAGTGGCCATATTTAAAAGATAGACTTTCCAGTGAGGTCAGGTGGTCTGGAAATTCCCAAGTGCATAGGGGAAGCAAGCAGCCTCTGGGAAGCAACATGGGCATCTTATGAGCTGGTTATGTGAGATAAGGATTTATGTTTATTAAAAAAAAAAAAAAAAAAGTAGGTTTTAGCAGTAGAAGGAGATAGCAATGTGTTTAGAAAAGCACAGACCTGCCCATGTGGACAGACCTGTGGAAATTTTGCAGCCTCAATGGCACATCCATTCTGCTCAGCCACACAAAGCCCAGAGCCACACCTTAACACTGGCAATACTCAAATACTGCTCTTTCATGCATTTCCAGAGCTTCTGTTGGGGACACCAGAACATGAGATCTCTAAAAACTGACTGATGCAAGGCCTAGATTTGCCTCCTCCTTTTCTTTTTGCAGGCTAGCCGTGAAACCTTTTAGGGAAGGAGTAGCAGAGAATGGCTCTTCTGTTCCCAAAGCAGGGGTTGCTGCTCCTCTGTGCTGCAAAGGACATTAAAACACTCACAGAGGGTTGCTTAGGGGATGCTTTTTACCTCAGCAGGATTTAAGCATTGATTCTGGAAGTGTGAAACTGGTACTGTCATGCAAAAATACATACATACATATATATATATATGTATATATATACTATAAAAGGATAAGGATAAAGAATAAATCCAGTAGAAATATCTATTTCAGTCCTGTCCTGAGCATCATAGATTTGGAAAGTTGCTTCACCAAAAAGGCTTTTTTTTTTTTTTTTTTTTTTTTGCCCCCTTAGTCCTTGCATGGCACAGCCATAGGTCACAAGAACATCCCCTTCAAGGAGATGGGAGAGCATTAAGGATAACCACAAAACACCTATGGAGTTTTCCTTTCCCTTTACATGTGAAAAGTATTTACAGATTAGAGCAGATCTGAATGCATTTCGAGCTGGTAAACCATGTATTATGGAGTGGAATCATGTCTTATAGGACATAATTTTAGTCCTGCTCTCATTGTCTAGGATTCTTTGCCTTAGAGCAAAAATCTATTTTACCCTTCTTAGGTATTTATCGTATGCATTTAGTAATTCACTTCATTGTATCCAGGCATTTGGTAGGCGTGAGGCAAGAAAGTAAAATTATCCTTCCCACACTCTTTTCTTTGGATCCCGAGCCAGTCACACTTACGCTGACTTATCCCCTCATACTTTATCAAAATCACATTTTTGGCATGATAGTAACTTTCTTTTTTTAGCTTGGCTACTGCAGAAAACCGCAAGTTTGTAGTGGGAGGAGAGGTGGACGTGTGGGAAAAGTGTCCAGCCATTATTCAGGGTGTCTTACACAAACGGATGAAAAACAGCAAGAACATGTTGTTCTCCCCAGGAATGAGAGAGCAACATACATCCTTCCCATAAACGGGAGCTGAATGATACCCCTAAAGCAGGCTGCGTTTTAGAATAAAAGACTGCCTAATTGAAACTTCTTATAAAAATAACTCTTCAGAAAAGCGGGGAGAACAAAAGTCCACAGGCCTTCAGCCAAACCCTGGAAGCAGTCGCACCACCTCTCTTTCTCTGTGTTTTCCTGCCACCTTGCTGCAGCACAGGGGTGCTACGGAGCAGGACTGTCCAACTGGCCTGGAGGAACAGCAGCCTCCAAGAGGCTTTGTCACATCCTGACAAAGTGAAGGCCAAAAGGGGGGCAGAAGGAAACAGCCAGGGAAGAGATGGAGTGCTCCTTTGGAAAGTCCTCATCTATTCTAGCATGAAAATCCTGCAAGTTCGGGTATTCCAACTTATGCAAGCAGATCGGTGCCCCAAGTGCTCACATGATGAATACTGCAGAGAAGCTCCAGCTGGGACAGTTTCTTCCACTGTGTGCATGCTCTCCACCAGGATTCATTTACCATTCTGGTTGTTGTCCTATACAAGAGTTTTATCCATAGGTAATTCCCATGAACAGAAGTGCTTAGCAGCTGATTGGGAACTTGATGTCTAAAGAAATATAGCTTATAATTTCAGCTGAATGCACTGTCCAGGTAACAGCCTGAATGATGTGGGTTTGGGTGCTAGGCTCTGGAGCAGAGCAGAGAGGACTGCCACTTGCGAGGTACCCGGGTGTGCTCAACCTCAGGCACACAGCCTACCAAGCTGAAAGACCCAACAAGCAGAGAGCTCAGTGAGAAGGAAACATTCTGCTTACTCCTTGAGTCCGCTATGAACGGAGGATTCAAAAAAGCCATTTTTCATGCACGGCCCTGTCTGAAAAGTCCTGCTGTACCCCAGCCAGCTCTGATGAGCCCCGTCAGCTGGTGCAGCTTCTGAAAATTTGCTTTATCACGTGTAAAAACACAATGTGATATTTTGGCCTTCTTAACACAACACACTGATAACAGGAACTGGGAACAGGGGAACATTCTTTTAATCTCATCAGCTGGCCGAGATGCTGTTTGCCACGTCCAGGGAGCTATTTCCAAATGAGTGTATTTATAAACCAGCTAGTGAGGTGAGGGGCAGGTTTTGACCTCTTGTTAATGAAATAAAGATAAGCATCAGCTTGGCATCTGCTTTCTGACCATGTGAGAAGTTAATTTTTCCTTTCCATAGCAGTGTTGTCCTGTTTCATTCCTCACCTCCATGATAAGGGTAGGCACAGGCTGCCATCCAGCCTGAGGCTCCCCATGATCTCTGCATGCTCTAGATGACGTCCGCACTTGATCCCAAGGTCCAGTGCAGGTTTTAAGACTGTTCCATGACACCTTTACCCTGCCTGTCCCTTCCCAGGGCTCAGGGGATAGATTTTTCTACCACTGCCAAGAGTTTCCTTTGCACGAATCCACCTTATTGAAGCTGCTAAAAATCTGGTGCTCATTTTAAGTGCTAAACTCTGTGGAAATGTGAATCTAAAAGGAATGAGGAAATCAACCAAGCATCCCTAGGACAGTTGTTCCCAAGAGAACACAGGCCACACTGAGGAGAGAAAGTTCAAATGCGCACTGGAAACTTCTGTTTTCATACCCTAAGAAAGGAGGTTTCCATAGGGGGAGTGGGAGCATCCTGATCCCTTGCTGCCTTCCTCCTATCTGATGTAAATAAAGCTGCGTAAACAAGTCTGAAATGGGGTTAAATCACGTCTAGAGATTGCAGAAGACCTGGAATATGGGCTTAGAAAACCATGAGCACCATAGGACTGGATCTTTCCTCTAGCTGGCAGTGATAGAGAATTGGATTATGGTCAAGGATAGCACAAGAATTTATGGAAAAGCACCAGGAGATTAAATTGCTGCCATCCACTCTGATCTGCTTCTACTTACTCAAATTAAAGTTACTCAAATTATAATTTTCACTAATAATGGCAAGCAGAATCACAGCAGACTCTTTATTCCATTTTATTAGGCTGCTCAGAAACCACATACAGGAACTCTGGCTGGGACAAAGCTCCCTGGCATCTTATCACAACATGGGGCTATAACATGGTGGGAATCTATACTGTCTTTATGGAACACTAGTGTAGGGCTAAAACAATTAGATTGCTTTTTGCTTGACCTTCCATGTATCCTAGCTCCATATCCATTTAGTTTCAACACGGGCAAGCAAGGAGTCCATTGCCATGAAGGTGACAAGGCAAAGGAATTTGCTCAGTGATCACCATTTGAGCCAAAATAATGAGGTCTTCTGCCTTGATGAAAGCAGAGCCATTG